AAAGTTGACTTCTCCATGCTTCCTGTTCACCCAGATCGAAAGAATCGGTATCGTTCTCACCATTTTTCGTACTCCTCTGGTTTCTCTCCTCATATAGCACTCGTAGCTCTCCGCTGAAGTGGTTTCGGATACACCAGGAGGAAATAAACCGAGAAAAATAGCGATTTAAGGTTCTACAAAGGGTAAGTAATTTTGTGTTCTTCTTCTTTTTTAAATATCATAAAATCATCATCATTAGTTTACACATACATTCATATATTATGAATACGAAAATTTAAAACATGTATTTCGTGGGTAAAACACGAAAATTTCCTGGGGAAAACACATTCACTGTATTTACTTACTTGTGTTCTTCGAAGTATAGCACAATTAAACGCAATCGAATACACGAAACTCAAAACAACTGCTTCACAAAACTCTTGGTGAACAAAATTCATCACAAAGAAAACCATTTCTACTTTACTGCTTTGCTAGCAATCGTGAAAGTATCATTGAAACAGCGGTGCCAGATGTATTGCCTCTATCAATGAATTTAAGTTTATTAAAACAATAAATTGCGAAGTCTGCCTCATTAACATAGATGAGTGGATGTATTTAATGGTGGATAAATATCAAAAACTGATTAAATAAAACATAAATGACAATTTTAGACATTTTACCGGCCAATTAAAAAAGTCAGAGAAGATTGAATTCAACACTAACAGAGTTGATGGCAGCAGTGCACGTAGCCTGGGTATACACTTTCCCGCTCAGGGGTGTAAACAAACTTGCATACAGCGCAGTCTGGCAGTGCTTATGTTTTGTCTGCTACATTCTTACATGTAGAAATACATGTTTTAAATTTTCGTATTCATAATATATGAATGTATGTGTAAACTAATGATGATGATTTTATGATATTTAAAAAAGAAGAAGAACACAAAATTACTTACCCTTTGTAGAACCTTAAGGAAAAACGAAATTGAACTTTATTGAAACGTGTTTTTACTTTTGTTTACTCTGAGCGAATGAAGTAGTAGAAAAACGCACAGGGGCGTACCAAAGGTAGGGGCAACTAGTACACTGTGGTTACACTCTTAACACCCCTGCTTAACCACGGTAGTCTCCAGTCCCAGCCTGGTGCGGAGTCCTCTGAAGGCGGTGACCGAAAGACCCTTTGTCATGATGTCTGCTTCTTGCTCTGAAGAACGCACGAACTTGATGATGATGACACCCTGCTGCACAAGATCACGTAGGAAATGAAATTTGGTGTCCACGTGCTTGAGTCGACCATAGTCCTTCGAATCCTCAGCAATGCGAATGGTGGACTGATTGTCCTCAAAAACTGGAATGGGACCCTCGATTGAACATCCAAGATCTCCAAGCATCCTCTTCATCCAAACGACCTGACACGTGGCCGTACACAACGCTGCCAGTTCTGCTTCGGTGGACGATAAGGCGACCGTTTGCTGCTTGCGTGTAAGCCAGCTCACGGTGCATCCGTATACCTTGCAAACACATCCCGTTACAGATCGCCGGTCCAGGTTGTTGTTGGCCCAATCTGCATCGGAGAAAACTTCCAATAACTGCACGTTTGGCTGCTTCCGATAAACCAATCCAACATCCAGTGTGCCTTGGACGTACCGCAACATCTGCTTCAAATAGGTCCAGTGTTCATCGTTGGGACACGACTGGAATTGGCTGAAATAGTTGATGGCAGCCGACAGATCCGGTCGAGTAGTGAGTGAAGCGTACATCAGACAGCCAACCAACTCCCGGTACGGCTTGTCTGTTCGCTGACTCTCGTCTCCCTTAGTCAACTTCAAGCGATGCTCGATCGGCGTCGACCTCGGCTTGGATTCGCTCATCCCAAAACGCTTGAGCAAACCCTCCAAATAGTCCCGTTGACTGATCTTCAGTACACCAGCTGCACGGTCCCTGTCGATCCTCATGCCTAAGAACTGCTTGACCTCACCAGCATCCGTCATCTCGAACTGTTCGGACAATTTCCGCTTGACCAACTGCAGAAGCTTCAGCGACGGACTCACGATCAAGATGTCGTCGACATACAGCACTAGAATGACTTGCTCCTTCCCAGATCCGAAAGTGTAAAGGCATTGATCGTTGGCACTGCGAACGAAACCCAACTGCTCGACGAAACGATGAAACTTCTCATTCCATGCCCGCGACGCTTGTTTCAGGCCGTACAGTGCCCGGTTCAGCCGACAAACGAGTCCACTCCCCTGCTCAAACCCGTCCGGTTGAGCCATAAAGATTTCCTCCTTCAGCTCGCCGTTCAAAAACGCGGTCTTTACATCCATCTGATGGATATGCATTCCGCTTTGGTTCGCCAACGCCAGAACTGTTCGCAAAGTGTCCATCTTCGCCACAGGAGAGTAGGTCTCCCCATAATCAAAACCTCGCTTCTGGCTGAAACCTCTAGCGACCAGTCTTGCTTTGTACTTCGGGCAGCCGCCAGATTCGCCGTGCTTTACACGGAATACCCACTTGCATGAGATCACCGAACGTCCTTCCGGTTTCTCAACAAGCGTCCAGGTGTTGTTCCGCTTCAGCGAGTTCAGCTCATCTTCTATCGCAGCTTTCCAATCCTTCCAGTCATCGCGTTTTCGCAGCTCAGCGATGGTCCCTGGAATCTCATCAACGTAGTTTACCGCACTCAACGCAAAACTTGCGTATCCCATCTCAAAATCCTGATGCCACGCAGGAGCATTCCGCTTCCGCTTGGGTCTACGTAGTTCGCCACGCAGTTCGCCCTCAGCTTCCTCTGGCTCAGACTCGGTATCCTGTTCCTCAGACTCCTCTTCGTCGAAACTTTCGAATTCCCCGTCGGATGTTTCCCTTTCCGGGTCCACGGGTTGGACACTGACTCCGTCCTCTTGATCATCGTCTGCTGAAACACGGATAAACTCGTCTCCGTTGGAACACTTCCTCTCCACGAACACATTCTCCATCAGGTTGTCCTCAACAAAGTCCACATCGCGCGCTACTACAATCTGCTTCTTCACGGGATTCCAAACCCGGTACCAGTTCTGGCTGTATCCCAGAAAAATGCCTTTCCAGGCTTTCGCATCAAGCTTACGCCGGAGCTCATCCGGAACATGAACGAAAACCTTGCTACCGAAAACTCTTACCTTCGATACATCCGGCTTCCGGGACTCCCATCGCTCGAACGCTGTTTGCTTCGTGTTCAGCGCACTGGTGGGGCTTCTGTTAGTCAGGTAGGCCGCTGTCAGCACAGCTTGCCCCCAGAACCTCTTTTCGACACCTGAATCCTCCAGCATTGCCCGAGCCTTCTCGACGAGGGTCCGGTTCAACCGCTCGCTCACGCCGTTCTGCTGTGGCGTGTACGGAACGGTCCACTCGACTTGGATTCCTTTGCTTCGGCAAAACTTCTGGAATCGCTTGTTCTTATATTCTCCGCCATTGTCACACCTTAGACGAGAAATCTTCTGGCCAAACTTCGCGGAGACCAGGGCCTCATACTCTTCGAAATAGTCCACCACCTGATCTTTCGATCGCATCAAATAGACCACCGTGAAGTGGCTCCAATCGTCCGTAAAAGTGACAAAGTATTTCACTCCGGACAGCCCTACCGGCGTAACAGGGCCACACACGTCCGTATGTATGAGTTCAAGTACACGCGACGACCGATTACCACCGGACACAGAGAACGGTTTTCTCGTCTGCTTACTGACGACGCACGAATCGCACACAATCATGTCCCGATTGTCATTCGCGGGGAACATGTTCATTCCCGAAACCATGCCATCCTGAACTAACTGCTTCAGACTGTTCTCGTTCAGATGGCCGAACCGTCGGTGCCACAATTCTGAACTCTTCCGAATTTTACCGCACGACAACAAGGCATCACCGGCATTGTGCCCAACCGAGTAGAAATCTAGTTCGTACAACTTTTCGCGACGAGACGCACTCGCGACGACTTCGGAACCTCGATAGACTTTCGCTTTCCCGGACTCGAACACCACACGCATACCGGCTTTTTCCACCTTTAGCACTGAAAACAAATTGCAGCGAAGTTTAGGTACGAACAGTGCATTTTCGACCGTGCACTCAATCTGTTTCCCATCAACGACCGAAATCACTTTCACTGTGCCGGCATGTTCGGCCACAATCGTCTCACCGTCCTTTGCAATCGCAATCTCGACCGGCTTCGCCATACGATGCAATTCGCTGAACAGCTCTCTGTCCCGGACGAGATGATCCGTGGCACCGGAATCAATAAACCACCGGGTACGATGCCGGTCAGACAGATCCATTCCGCCGCTTACACCGACAAAACAAACTCCCTTTCCGTCGTCCGCTTCGGCAACATTGGCTTTCGACTTTTGCTGCTTCTTATTGACGGCAAGTCTCAATTATACAGTGGAGAGTCAGCGTAGGGAATCGGATGTAAAAATAAAATGCACTCGCGGTTACACAGATTGTAAACTATATTACAGATCACGAATATAAAAGTGGTAAAAAATGTACTTGACGGTCGATTGTTCGATCGGAGAATGATTACCTTTGTTGACACACACACATCTGCTGCGCGAGGGATCGACAGCATAGCAGGGGGTTCGGACTGGGTGTGACTACCAAGGTGAATGGATAAAGGTGAACATTGTATTTCTCCACACTCCTCCTCAATGATCAGCCGCTTCACTGATACTTCCGAGCCCCAACATATCACAGAACATCTGGTGCTTCATTGGTCCAAGGGGTTTCGTCAAAACATCCGCAAGCATTTGATCGGTCGGACAGTAGACCAACTTAATCTCCTTCTTCTCACACAGATCCTTTACGAAGTTTTCTTTCGTATCGATATGCTTCGAGCGTCGGCTCGAACGTTCAGTCTTCACGAACGCGATGCAACCCTGATTGTCTTCGTGCATCACCGTTGAACACTTTTGCTCTTCTCCTAAATCGCGTAGAAGCTGCCTCAACCATACAGTCTCTTGACAGGCTTCGCTGAGTGCCACGTACTCCGCCTCCATAGACTAGAGAGTGACAGAAGTCTGGCGGCGGCTGGCCCACGAGATTACTCCACCTGCATACGAGAACACAAATCCGGATGTCGACTTTCGGCTGCCGACGTCTCCAGCCCAATCGGAATCAGCATAGCCGATCAGCGCTTGTTCTGGTTCTCCTCCTAGTTGTAGACTGTAAGCGGCCGTCGTCTTCAAGTATCGGAGCACTCGTTTCGCGGCGTTCCAATCTGCTTCTCCCGGAGCGCTGAACTTGCGTCCGAGGATTGCAGTGCAGGCTGCGATGTCTGGACGAGCGTTCACAGCAATGTATAACAGTCCACCTACAAGACTCCGATATTTCGATGAATCTTCGAAAGCTTCACCTGAATCGTCTGTTTTCAAAAACCCAGGCTCCATGGGTGACTTCGCCGTCTTGGCATGCTCCATCCCAAACTTTGCAACCATATTCTCGATGTAGTTCTGCAAACGAATCCTGTACACTCCATCTTTTCGCTGCACCTCCATTCCGAGAAAGTGTCGAACTTCACCAAGGCATGTGAGTTCGAACTCTTCCTTCAGAGAATCGAATAGTCGTTTGACTTCTCGTTCGTCAGTTGATCCAATCAACATGTCGTCAACATAAACAAGTAGGAACACTCGAATTGTACCTACAGTCTTCACATACAGGCACGGATCAGCGCCTGATGGTTTGAATCCTCGCTTCGATAAGGCTTCGTTCAGTCTTCGATGCCAGCAACGTGCTGACTGCCGCAGACCATAAATACTTCGCTTAAGCCTGCAAACATAATCCTCCTTTCCGGGTACTGCACATCCAGTGGGCTGCCGCATTAGAATCTCCTCATCCAATGACCCGTAGAGATACGCGGTCTTCACGTCAAGATGACGGACAACCATGTTCTGCTTTGATGCCAATGCAAGAAACGTTCGCATTGTGGCCTGGCGTGTAACTGGAGCGAATACCTGGTCGAAATCGATCCCATGCTGCTGTGTGTACCCCTGGGCGACTAGTCTGGCTTTGTATTTCACGACTTCATCCTGCTCGTTGCATTTGACCTTGAACACCCACTTTGACCCCACTATCTTGCGTCCTTGGGGAGGTGGAACAAGCTCCCAGGTCTCATTACGTCGATGAGAGGCAAGCTCATCCTCCATCGCACTCCGCCATTCGGGTATCTTCACAGCTTCTCGGAAGTTTGAAGGTTCTTCTACTGCACATGCCGCGACACCTACGGCGTAATCCAACACATAGTCATCAAAACGCTTTGGCACTGCTCCACGGTTCTGCCGACTCGATCGGCGTGACGTAGCTGGAACATCTCCATTTTCTTCATCAGCTTCGTAGAATTCCTCACTATCAGCTGACTCCGCATCGCTTTTGTCCTTCTTCTCCTTGAAAGGCAGCAGCTTGATTTCATCCTCGTCGTTCTCCTCAGGACCACTGGATGCAGGACACTCCACTGAAATCGTGCCATTGCCAAGCTCGATGAACCTGGCGTCTCGGCTCACAGTTATCCGATCCGTCTCATGGTCTACGAAACGGTAACCTTTATGCTCCATAGAGTAGCCCACAAACGTAAGCTTTCGCGCCTTGCCTTCCATTTTCCCTCGCTTCGCCTCTGGAATGTGTACGAAAGCATCGCTGCCAAACACTTTCAGGTGACCTACTTCGGGCTTACGATTCCACCACAGCTCGTATGGCGTTTTCTGGACGGATCTGGACGGTAGACGGTTCTGCAAATAGGTTGCGGTAAGCGTCGCCTCACCCCAGAAGCGCTTCTCAAGGCCAGAGTCGAGTAGCATACAGGTGGCCATCTCGGTGAGTGACCTGTTTTTACGCTCAGCCACGCCGTTCTGTTGTGGCGAATAGGGGGTGGTGAATTGTGGTTTGATCCCTTCCACGCGGTAGAAGTTTCGCAGCTGATTGTTGTCGAATTCTCCGCCTCCATCAGAGCGGATAACCTTCGGCTTCCGGCCGTGCAGGGTTTCAACCCATCGAACATACTCCTTGATGCTCTCAGCTGCTTCCCACTTGTTCTTCAGGAGGTACGTCACCGTAAATCGACTGTAGTCATCGATGATGTTCATTACATATCGGTTGCCGCTCGGGGTGGCGGTGTTCATCGGGCCACACAGGTCGGTGTGCACGATGTCCAGGATTCCAGTCGATTTCCGCTCGGTGACGGCAGGAAAGGGAGGCCGAGCTAATTTCCCCTCCATACAACATTCACATGTAATTCTCAAACCACAATCGCTTACCTTCATACCTATTGCAAGGTTCTCCTTCACAATGCGCTCTGTCGCAGCCCAATCACGGTGGCCGAAGCGCCGATGCCACTGGTGCTGGCAGTTCTCCCGATGCTGTTCGGTGGTTACCTTGAGTGAAGTCTCCGCAAGCCTCAGTCGGTACAGGCCTCCGTAACGACTACCAGATGCCACAACGACTCCCTTTGGATCCACGATCCTGCACTTTTCGTCGTCGAAACTCACGTTCAATTTCTTCTGTGCCAGCTTAGCAACTGAAATCAAACTGGTCGACAGACCGGGCACAAACTTCACTTCACTTATGTATATCTTCATTACATCGTCTTCACCGTCTACACCGTAGAGAACACCACAGCCTTCACCTTGGATCTGCGTTTTCTTCCCATCCGCCAAGGTGATCCATCCACCAGCGAACTCCTTCAGCGACGTGAAGAACGAGCGGTCGTTCGTCATATGCGCACTCGCACCGCTGTCGATGATCCAGCACGCATTTTTGTTCCCAACAGTGAACGCAACATATTTGTTATCACCGTGGGCGGCCTTCGCTTTAGCACTTTCTTTTTCTTCTCTTCTGTATCTCGGTGCACTTTCACTGTCTTTCTTCGACGCCAACAGTTTTCTACAGTTGCGCCGGATATGGCCGGGCTTCTTACAGAAGTGGCACACTCGCTTCTCGCCATAAACACTTTCCGCGGAACGCATCGCTTTCTCACTTTTCGAGGCACTACCACTACCACCTTCCCGTTCCAGCCGCCGATGGTACTCGTCCATCAGCCTGGATTTGACGACATCCAACGAAATGTCATCATCTGATCGACTGTCGAGAGCCGTAACAAGATTGTCGAACGATGGAGGAAGGCTTCGCAAAAACATACAAATCTTCGTGTCTTTGTCTAATTCCGTTCCGGCTGCGTCAAGCCGCTCGAAAAGATCGTCCACTTCAAGCAAATGCTGCTCGAGATCACCGCGATCCGGCATATTCATCGCACACAGTTTCTTCAAGAGAGAAACACGAACCGAGCGAGTGGCCTTCTGGTGGTAATCTTTTAACGCATTGAATGCATCACGGGCATACACACTTGTCTTCACCAGCGACAGCTGGCTGTCTTCCAGCATCAACATCAACGTAGCTTTTGCTCGTCGGTCGGCAGTTTTCCACTTCTCACTTTTCTCCTCCGGAATTTCTTCGGCAACTGCGTGCCACACATCTTCACGGGAAAGCAGATTCTCCAGGCGGACTTTCCACGTCTGCCAGTTTGTGCCATTCAATTTGGCAATGGTGAACCGCGGGTCAACCATTTTTCCACAAACTATTCACTTTTTCTGCTTGAACAAGTTTTGTTTACGTTTTCACTCACAGACCGTTCGCGATAGCACACTTCTTTTTCTTCACCTCTTCGTTACACTCGAGGCGGAACACAAATCAAAATGGCTCTACCCGGCCAAAGATTTTCCCGGACAAAAAAAAAAACTTTTTCACACCGATTCCGCTGGGCCCATAACCTGACGGCAAGTCTCAATTATACAGTGGAGAGTCAGCGTAGGGAATCGGATGTAAAAATAAAATGCACTCGCGGTTACACAGATTGTAAACTATATTACAGATCACGAATATAAAAGTGGTAAAAAATGTACTTGACGGTCGATTGTTCGATCGGAGAATGATTACCTTTGTTGACACACACATCTGCTGCGCGAGGGATCGACAGCATAGCAGGGGGTTCGGACTGGGTGTGACTACCAAGGTGAATGGATAAAGGTGAACATTGTATTTCTCCACACTTATTACCTGCCTGCTTTTTCCGATCCAAGCAATCGATCTGTTTATGGCCTTCCTTCTTGCAGTGAAAACAAATCAGCTTCCTCTGCTTCACCACCTTTGATCCGGAAAAAGCTGCTTCTGCACCCTGCGAGGAAACCAATTCCATACCTCGCCGCTTGGTTTCTTCGTCCAGCAATCTGCACTTCACAAACTCGAGCGACAGGTTATCTTCGGGCATCGTCTCGAGTGCCGTGACAACTCCGGAATAAGAAGAATCGAGCGTCAAGAGAAGGTGGCAAACCACGTCCAAATCCTCCAGAACAGCACCAGTCGAACGATACTCACGGACCAGCTTATCAAAACGAAGAAAATGTTGCTGTAGATTTCCGCCTTCGAACCGCAGTTGCAGCATCTCCCGCTTCAAATGCATGCGGCTCGCGATGCTACGGCGCTCGAATACCCGATGCAGGGCGTCCCAGATATCCTTGGGGTACTGCTTGCCTTGGATATACTTCAACTGGGAATCGTGAATCCTCGAAACCAGCAGGGACTTGCATCTGCGGTCTTTCTTCATGCGTTTCTCCAATTTCCTCGCTTTTTCCGCTTTCACTTCGTTCGTGTCGTTTTCCAGGACAATCAGGTCCTCCACTTCCGCTGCATATGTCTGGATGCACTCCACAAGCTCGTGCTCTTCCAGGAGAATCTGCATCCGGAACTTCCAGGCAGCGAAGTTCAAGCCATCGAACAACGGCAACAACACACGATCGAACTTTTCCTCCTCCATAACGAAAACACCGCACTTCCGATACTTATCCGATAAAACGCGACCGGGCCCAAAACCTGAAGTGGTTTCGGATACACCAGGAGGAAATAAACCGAGAAAAATAGCGATTTAAGGAAAAACGAAATTGAACTTTATTGAAACGTGTTTTTACTTTTGTTTACTCTGAGCGAATGAAGTAGTAGAAAAACGCACAGGGGCGTACCAAAGGTAGGGGCAACTAGTACACTGTGGTTACACTCTTAACATCCGCCAGGGTGTTGCCGATAAAGATCATACCGGCGATAACGCATACTGCTTCCGACGAGATGGTTCTGTACGCACTGACGACTCGCATAGCCATGAGTCGGAACGTGCTGCCAGACCCCCTTCACTCTTTGGATTTTTTAGAGACAGATAACAGCGCCAAACGGTTTGTGACGAGATAACGTTGAACTGCAGCGCTGGAAGAAAACACGCACACCAACATCTATACATGTACGAACCCACACAACTGAGCGGACGGTACAGCGCAAATCAAAACACGAAGCGGTGTCATCACTCATCGTCTTCATTCAGCTTCGGCTACTTCCGTTTGCGTTTGCTTTCACCGGCGTTGACAAATACTTCCTTTGTTATAAAATAGGAAAGTAATGATTATTCCAATGTAATTTTGGAATAGAATGCGTGCTGCGTTGGCCAATACCAAGACGGCATATTTTATTACGTTTAGCAATGATTTCGATACGTTGCATTTCCAGTGACTGGGGTGTTGGAATAATTCTTTAGAGAGAGTGAATGTTTTTCCCATGTTTACATCTATGCTTATTAAGATTCTTTTGAGCACCAGCTCCGCAAATCATCAATTACTATTAGAGATTTGCATCCTAATGATACAGGTGGTATATTTAAAACTCTTTCGCTCGAAAGCAAAACATATTACAAGCGCATCATGATGCGCGCTTGGATGTGTGATTGTTTTCTCAAGTGTTTCTGTTGCGTATAAAGTGGTAATGATTGAAAATCGGAAAAATCACAAACAAGTAAGAATTTTGCTATCGCAATATGACGATGATCACTTCGAGGATGATATCGTCCTTTTTCCTCGGCTGATCATCAACGTCAGCATTGACATCTATCATGCTGACACCTGTCAGTTATTGAGCCCAGGTGGTGAAGTTGGCGGGGAACTCCCAACAGTTTCAATGTGCACTCAACAGATGGCACTGCGATCATATACGGGTGGTAATTATATGTCTTGTATGAGGAATTGATTAGTGGGATATCTTGTTAATAAGATATCTTTGGTGCTGCTCAATTTCCTTTGGTTCTGCTTCGTTTTCAGCGCTGGAACCCAGGCTGGACCTCCATACTTCAGTATCGACGGCGACACACTTGCCAGAAGACGCCTCTGCTACTGCTGGCAGAGTCGATATTATAATAAGAGTCCCGCCAAGAGAAAATGTTGCGAACAAGCAGCACTGTTTGTGATTTATTTTCGTCAGAGTAAACGGCAACCAGATTTTTTGCATTAGCATCGGATGACTTTCATTTGGAAGTGAAAAATTTCATGTCGATAACGGAGCTTCTGGGAGACAAAAACAATTATAGACCTTGAAAAAGGTTCAAACAAGTGCTTGGTATAACTTATAAATACCACACTGTACTAAATAAAGTGAAGAAACGTTTTTCATCTAAAATTACTAAAATATTGTCAGTAATGAATGCAATACTTGTAGTTCACTGGCTGTGGGAACAATGATGTTTATTTACTTTGCTTGTTTGGTACCCCGCTTGACAGTTCGATTGGTACTTCTGGCTTCACTCTTGGCGGGACTCTTATTATAACATCGACTCTGACTGCTGGGACCAGCGTCGTCCACCCTGGACTTTTTCCTGTCAAACATCGGACTATCCAAGCCGGAGGCGCACAACGATCTCAGCTCCGACCACCAACCGGTGGTGACTGAAGTCGGTGTCAACGTGGTTCCTGCTAGAAACTGCCTGCGTAAAGACTACCACCATGTCAACTGGGTGCAGTACGGACGAATGGTGGACAGCAACATCGATGAAAATCCACTGCTCGACACTGTAGATGACATCGACCGGGCGTTGGAAGGACTCCAACAGGCCATATCCGTGGCTGACGAGGCGTGTGTTCGACAAGTTCCTGTGAGGGGTAAGTTTGTTGCTATTGATTCCCACACCCAATTATTGATTCGGTTGAGAAATGTTCGTAGACGCCAGTTTCAGAGGACTGGAGATCTGGGCAAAAAACGTGAATTGGCCGATCTGAACAGGCAGATTGCTTCCAGAATGGACTCACTCCGAAATGAAAGTTTCGGGCGTGTTGTCCAGAATCTGGACGACCGCTCCAGACCATTCTGGAAGGTAGCCAAGGTCCTGAAAAATCATCCCAAACCCGTTCCACCTCTCTCAAAGTCGAAAATGATGACGATCGGCTTTTAATTACCCCACAGGAGAAAGCAAATGCGATCGGCAAGCATGTCGCTTCATCGCATTTGCTTGGCTCGACTATCCAAAGTCCGCTCGATGATCAGGTTGCGCAATGCGTTCAAAACCTAGATGTCTCCCTTTGTGTCGTGCCTCCGGTGGATATGATTACAGTACAACAGATTTGCTCAGCGCTGAAATGCACCAAGAACATGAAGGCTCCCGGGTTTGACGGTATATTCAACTTGATCTTGAAGAGACTCAGCATGAAAGTGCAGTCTCTTCGAACCGTTATCTTCAACAGATGAAAGCAGCAAAAATCATACCAATCCGCAAACCCGGAAAGGATCCAACATTGTCTTCAAGCTACAGACCAATCAGCCTCCTTTCAGCGCTGAGCAAATTGTTCGAGAAACTCATTCTCAATCGTTTGCTCAAGTTTGTCGAGGAAAATAACATTCTCCTTCCGGAACAGTTTGGGTTCAGAAAGGGGCACTCCACCAATCACCAGCTAGTGCGGGTGATGAATAACATCCGAAGTAACAAAGCTGTATCCAAGTCCACAGCCATGGCCTTGTTAGACGTTGAGAAAGCGTTTGATAATGTCTGGCACAATGGGCTTGTATACAAGCTTTGTAACTTCAACTTTCCATTACATCTGGTTAAAATCACCCGTAACTACCTCCAGCAAAGGTCGTTTAAGATATCGTTGAATGGTTGTCTTTCCGACACGTTTTCCATCCCAGCAGGAGTCCCGCAAGGCAGTCTGCTGGGCCCCTTGCTTTACAGCATTTACACTTCCGACATTCCTCCCCTCGGAGACGGTTGCGTGTTTTTTTTTCTGTTCGCAGATGATACCGCAATAGCCGTCAAAGGAAGGATACCTCGTGAAATAACGAACAAACTTCAACGATGCCTTAACGCCTTTGCTGATTATGCCACCACGTGGAAAATCAAAATCAATGCCTCCAAAACACAAGCGATCATGTTCCTCCATCGGCAATCGCCGAAACTGAAACCGGCTCCATCTTGTACCTACTGTAATCATGGATGGCACAAGGGTTGAGTGGTCTGCCGAAGTAACCTATCTCGGGATGTTGTTCGATGAAATGCTCCTCTTCAGTTCGCATGTACAGAAAACTGTAGTCAAGTGTTCTGCCTTGGTTAGGTGTCTGTATCCGCTGATTTGCCGCAGATCCCGCCTCTCAAGGGTGAACACACTGGCTGTCTACAAACAAATCATAGCACCTGCGATCCTCTACGCAGCTCCGGTGTGGGAATCATGTGCACAAACTCACAGGAACAAAATTCAGGTAGCTCAGAATAGAGTGCTGAGGATGGTGGCATTCGGGGTAGTGTCACAGAATCCATTTTGACAGCTGATTTCGTGGTTGACAATAATAATCAAATCTGTTTTACACGGCTAAACTAGCTAGGTTGTATTAGTGAGATCTTGCGTTGAGAAGTCAATGGCGGTCCGTGGCTCGTCAACCAGAAAGCAGTTTGAAAATGTACGGAAAAGGTCCTGAATTGGTGAAATCAGTGTTCAACAGGTCACAAAGATTCACTTCTTGCACTAGATTCCCAACAAATAATTGAGAGCACTTGTAAAACACCTGAGTCGCTCAAATAGCTTCCAAAGTTGAACAAGAATGTAATTGTATTGTCATTTGGTTAAAAGCTTTGAGAAATGTGTTCAGTCATGCTTCATAAGACTTACGATACCTTTTAAAGTACCTCAGTTAAACCGATTGACAAGAGCTGTATAGTAAGTGTATATAGCCTAATTCTATCCTAAAAATGACCCTTGAGAAGAAACATTCCTTAACTAATGTGTGGGTGAAAATGGGACAACATTAAAAACTAGATTCCTTCCTGCATTCATCACCTTCACTTTCTCCTAATTTACGTAACAAACTTCAACCTCGCAACGTATTCAAATTTAGGTTAAAAAAAATATTAAGGTGGACGTGGTCCTATATGCCCTTCTGGCATGCGCTTACATATATACTTGCAGCACAGACAAACAGACATAACACTCGCAAGTTGTTCATCGAACAAGCATTTAACGGTCCATTTAAAAGTATCGTAGTTGGTAGCACCGCCACCTGTGGCGCGCATAGTCAATCCCCTTGCGTTTGACGTTTACACACTTCTGCCATCTGTTCAGCGTACTACCCACCACAGTGTATTCAACAGATGGCGGTAATGTTTTAGCAACGATGTTTTACAGTGAGAAATATTCAATGTGTTATGTCTGTTTGTCTGTGCTTGCAGCGCATATTCTACAACTCTATGCTATGCTATACTGACCGGAGCGCAAAAACCAGACATACCTAGACCTAAATAAACACACTAGACGTCTAGTAATCTTCCGTTACACTTTTGCAAGACGCTATCCTTTTACCTGTTTTACTTTCTGAGGAAGCATGGTTTGTATCTGAAATTAAATGTTGCCTACTTTTCCTTGATAATTAATAGCAACAGGAGTGTAAAATCCGATAAGGGAAACTGAGCTTTCCTGTTCGTTACTGAACATATTTGCATAGGCGGACCAGACTAGGTACATCAACAGCGAATCAAGTACAAGCTTACCATCCGTTGCTGCCCGGTACAGCTTGAATCAACCAAATCACACTCAAACGATAGCTTTATTATCATAACGGCGGTACCAGCGCAATAACCGTCATCATCGATTCTTCCTCGCCGTGGTGGTTAATGGGAAAGATAGCTCTGCGCGCGATTTTGTTGCTCAGTTTCTGAAATAGAGCACCTATTTTCTGCTGGTATAGGGTAGGCAAAGGTTTGCCATGATTGCAGCAGTTAGCAACAGCTGAGTCTGCGAGAGAGTATCGACCGTTTCCGGCTGTTTTACTGTGGGGAAAGAGATGCGAGAGTGCGAAATTCTCTTCCGAAATGAACAGGGACATATTCATCGCGTGAACTTTTGCAGCCAAGACTTATCAGGGAATTCTTCAGAACGATCTTAAAAACCAACAATTCTTGAGTCGATAGTCTATCTTTGTTGTGTTCAAGTTTTGTCCAGACTGAAATCGATTCGTCGCTTCTCTTTCAATAAAATAAAACCTAACTAACAGCTTATTTCCAGATCGGTTGCCCTCGTCCCTGCACGTTGTGAATGTGGGTCTGTCGGGGGGCCGTGATGTTCCACTCGTACCAAACCTTGTGCGCAGCGACGCACCGCCAAAAGTTGACGACAATTTCATCGCCGGCTCGAATCTGCATCGGTTCCGTCAGTGGGAAGAACATCGAGAACCACGAACCCAGCCCCTTGGTATGATCGAACGGGTGAATGCTAATGGTGATATTCTTGTACAGGACGCTGTCGAAATACCCGGTAAATCCGTGCATAACGCAATCTAGTTGGGACTTAAAACGGACCGTTTTGAAGCGGGAATTGTCGATGACCGGTTCCCGGTTGGGATGGACAAATTCGAACAATGCCTGAGGATTATCGATGTGGTAGGCGTTCTTCAGATAGGCCACATACGAACATTCCATGTAGCGGGACGTGACAATCCGGTCTTTGCCATGTGGACTCTTTTCCAGCGAACGAATCTGGTTGTAGATTTTTGTTGTCATACAGGGGTTCAGATAGGATGTCGATTTACCTGAAACGAGTTAAATTAGGCCATGTATTTTGAAAGCCCATATAAAGTACCCAACTTACAAGGAATGCTAATTCCATCCGGCTTGAGGTGCCTCTGTGCTCCGTCCAAACATTCGGGTGAGAGTTCGTTATCACCGAACGAACCCAGCAGTTCGGAAATCAGAATGTCCGCCTTCTCGGGGGGTTCAAACTCCCGCATGTCCATAGAGATAAGTTCGATGTTTTTGTCCTTCCACAATTCGTTGATCAGCGAGCTCAGAGTAACGATTGCATTCGGATTCTTTTCGATGACGTAAATCTTCACCTTCCGTTTGCTCTTAGCCGCGGCGTTTAACGTCGCCCGAACTAAAGGGCCTCGTCCTCCACCCACGACCATGATGATGGATGTACGCGTTTCCAGTTCCTCCAAAGAAACACGATCTCGGAGGGCCTCCTCGATTGCATTCTGATAGAGAATGTACTTCACTGGGTCCTTTTCGAACACTTCATACGTGAAACTATCCAGATTGTCGTACAGAGGCTGGAGCGGAATCTCCAACAGATCATCATACCCTTGCATCACATCCTTGACATGGTTTATACGAAGAACGTACTTTATGTAGTCGACGTAATGAACGACTCGTTTGTCTTCGGGATTTGCTTTCACTATGAAGTGACAACCGAAGGTACGATGGAACAGAACCAGCAGTTCCTGATGAGCTTTTGACAGAACCGGAAAGTTGTTCGTATTGGTCAGGAAGATGTCCGACGAAACAACCACTGCATCGACCGGTTCTCCGAGCCAACGATAGATTTCCTGCCTCTTTGGAATGTCAGCGGTAAACTCCAGTGCAATCTTCACGTGAGTGTCATAATCCGCATAGGACCGGAAGTTGTTCCACCAATTCCAAGTGTCTTCCTCTTCTGCACTCTCGCTATTCCCGTCACTTCTCCAGGATGCCTGGGTAACTTTTGGATTAGCCATCGGAATCTCGACCAGCAGGATTCCCTTTAATCCAATGGTGGTCACCCGAGCTAAATTGGCACAATTTCCGCTCTTCAATCGCAACAGCATGTACCCACTCTGAACTAGATGCTCTGCGTAGGAAATCTCCTGCCTCATCGTACACTCACCCTGCTTCCGGACGTCATCATCCTCCGAATCACAATCTATATTGCTGCTCAACCTACAAATAACCCGATTGAGCCACTGTGTCGAATTGAGAAGCAAATCCGACCGGGTGAAGCGATTGTGCTTGGTCTTTAGCGGATCCAACACAAACTCCCGATCAAACTGCCGGTGGGCCAACGGAATGGTGACCGAGCTGTAGTTAGACTTCGCAGCATGTTCGATTGCCGTTTCCAGCTCGTACACGGTGTCATGGTGCAACGAGATCGAGACTTGCACTTTCGATTGTTGGTCGGTGGACATGTTCTTGGTCGGGATGGCCGGCTTTCCAAGACGGATATTTTCACGTGCGAGGCAAAGAAACCGATGATTTTACGGCAAACTTTTGCGAAAAAAAAAGCGACAACGAGGTTTTGTTTGCGATTTATCGAGTAGATTTGTTTTCCCAGATTTTTCGAGCAGTTCGGCCAGTGATGCCAGCAGGATCCCGAGTGAATCTGAGTCAGAGCGTTTCCGAAGGGTGTCATTTGGCGTTCACTCTACACTCTTAGCTACGATTACCTAAAATTATCGGTAAAAAATTATCGGTTTTTTACCGATAAAAATCGTTATTTTAATGTAAATAGGCTACTTTTTACGATAAATTAGGTAATTTTAAACGTTAATTATAGGTAATAAATGATAACTGATAATTTAGGTATGTGCGCTTTCTTCGATTATCAGTAATTTGTACCGTTATCTAGGTATTCTTTTACCGACTTTTAGGTTTGTGCATCTTAGTGTGTTGGTAGCTGGGCTGTCAAATACGAACTATCGTTGCCTAAATCGTATAACCAACAATCAATACGAAATTAACGATTTTAAATTGGCTCACTACTTGACTAGCCTATTGGTCCCAAGCAAACGATTAACGTATCCCATTCTAGTCGAAATTCTAGTACTACGCAATGTTTGTTTTGATTCGCTATGACAGTTTGACAGATAAAATGAGGGGTTATTGGTTTTTCCTATGTTTCGAGGGGTGAATCGATTAGCTTGGGACCGAAGAGAGTACCAGAGCTGAGCCAAAAAGTTGAGCACGTTATTTCGGGACCTTCTAGTCTTAGAGTTACCTCTATGCTAGTAGGTCCCGAAGAAACGTGCTCAACTTTTTGGCTCAGCTCTGGTACTATCTTCGGTCCCAAGCTAATCGAAGCACCCCTCGAAACATAGGAAAATCCACGAACCCCTCATTTTATCTGTCAAACTTTCATAGTGAATCAAAACAAACATAGTGTAGTACTAGAATTTCGACTAGAATGGGATAAGTTAATCGATTTGCTTGGGACCAATAGGCTAGTCAAGTAGTGAGCCAATTTCAAATCGATAGTTTCGTATTGATTGTTGCTACTACTGGATTGAACTAGCATTTTCACCAAATGTACTAGAATGTTTTGGTTCTATCACAATCAATACGAAACTAACGATTTTAAATTGGCTCACCACTTTAGTAGCCTATTGGTCCCAAGCAAACGATTAACGTACCCTATTCTAGTTGAAATTCTATTACTACACTATGTTTGTTTTGATTCGCTATGAAAGTTTGACAGATAACATCAGGGGTGTGTGGATTCATGCAGAACATGCAGGGGTGAGTGAAATAGCTTGGGACTGCTTGGGACCGTTGTCCTGGTACTGAGTGAGCCAAAAATAATAATGATTTTCTTCGGGACCCAGTGGTCTTAGAGTTACCTCTATGGTTCTATCTCTTTCACTCTACTCAAAACTGAAATGCATAAAAAAAATGACAAAATGATACGCACTCTTTGCACACTGTCAAAGAATCATTGTACACAAAATCAACTTTGTGCAAAACCAAAACAAAAAATAAAAAATATACTATCCCATCTGGTGGATGATGGCACAAGCTTCTAAGAAAATTATATTACAGCGAACCACATTATTTTAATTGATTTCTTCGCCAGTTAGTCGTCTGTCACTTCGTTTGTGCTGCAGATCGTTTTTTTTTTTCATCTCTTGGCAATCCATTTTTCTGCTTTATCCTACATTCAAATGCTAATATAATTTAAAATTAAGTATGTTTCTTTCAAACATAAGAGCATGTTTAAAATAAACATATTTAGTTTTTGTTCGCATAGTTGTCAAACCAAACAAAAATATTCACGTTTATTTTCAATACGAATATTTTTAAAATAAACGTAACATTATTTTTATTTTAAACTTTAATATTACATGACTTCAAACATGGAGTATGTTTGAAATAAACCTTGTTTATTTTTGTGGCCAGAACAAACTTAGTTTACGTTTAAATTTACCTCAAATATTTTTGTTTCAACGATATTTTTTTCTGCGTGAAGAAATTTGAAACAGAGTTCCATTGAGTTCTCTAAGCAGGATATCACGAACACTACACTAATAACATAATTTTACACACACTAGCGTATACTGTCATGTGCACGGTACACCGAACCGAATTTTAAACATATGAATAATTCAAAATAAATTTAAAACATGTTTGCTACAAAAATATATACGTTTGAATTAAAGTCAAAAGCATGTTTATTTCAACAATATAGAATTTGGGTAAACGATTTTTAGCGTACCCTGCCTTTTTTCCCTTCTTGTTTACATTGAGAAAAAAATTGCCCCAGCTTTGCCAATCAACTGAAAACGGCACACCTAGGTAAGTGTCTTAACAAAGTTCCAGCTCGATAAAACCGGAAGAACCCCACAGTATTGACGTCACTCTGTCGTTTCTGAAGCCAATCCCTGTATCATCCTCCTCCACAACTGACGTCGGAAGAAAAACGAAAATCCTAAATGGATTTCGAATCTATTCCGGATCAACCGGGGCGGCCCCTCCTTCAACACCGAACGTATAAAGAGGCCGGTATGAGGATCAGCGTTAGAAACGACAAAACGACGCTAATATCACAAAGTTTCACTGGTTTTACTGAACTGGAACCTCCGGACACTCACCTCGACGGGTCTCCGCATCTCACACCAGGACCCCAACATCCACAGCCCACCCTTAATCGCACCCGAAAAAGAGCAGGAGTTTAGATGCCCTGTCTGCAGTTCGTTTTTTCATATCTTTGCAATCCATTTGTTTTTTTGCTTTATCCTTAATGCTAATATAATTTAAAATTAAGTATGTTTCTTTCAAACATAAGAAGGATGCTTAAAATAAACATATTTATTTTTGTTCGCATAGTTGTCAAACCAAACAAAAATATTCACGTTTATTTTCAACACGAATATTTTTAAAATAAACGTAACATTATTTTTATTTTAAACATTATTATTACATGACTTCAAACATGGAATACGTTTGAAATAAACCTTGTTTATTTTTGTGGCCAGAACAAACTGAGTATACGTTTAAATTTACCTCAAATATGTTTGTTTCAACGATAAATTTTTCTGCGTGTAAGAATCAAACTCCATTTATGAGTAAAAGTGAACCCATTGTCCATAAAAGTGGCACCACTAATTAATGAGCAATTCATTATGCCAATTAAGTAGTAACTGTTGCTACTGTTAGCAGAAACTCATTGTTGTTAAAATAATTTACTCATTCCAGGCAACATACTTCATCAATTGTTCTTGTAGAGCAGTTTCAGCATCCTGCAAAAAAAAAAGTACGTCTTTTTAACAACAGCAAAATTTAATGTAATGGATTTATTACCGTGATAAATCGAATTATCGGAGCCGCTAGTTCTGCTTCGATGTCTGTAGACTCTACCAAGGAAGATTTTCACATATTTATCACTTTTTGTACTTTTAAAAACGGAACAAAGGCACTCGACAAGGCACACCAAGTATGCCAGCAACGTTACGGAGCAACAAAGATATTTTCACCCAATAATGGGTAAAAATGTACCCATTTCTGGTCCCTGAACAGGTTTCGGAAATGGATGAAAAAGTACCCATTATTTGAAATTTTCATTTACACATTTTTTGACAGCTCCATACACTACCACAAAATGGGTACTTTTCCACCCATTAATGGGTACTCACCAGTTACAGTGGTGCGAGAGGTGCGTTTCTGTTCTAGTTTCAAATTGAAACAGTCCTTATAAAATATAACAGCATTGCGAACCGAGTTGCGAACGGCCTAATGAGTCAAATTCGCACACTCAAAAAATTTATCACATATCTAATGGATGAAAACCATGTGAATTTCACATAGCGTTCATGTTATCACAGCTTAAAATCCCACCACAAAATCACATGAATATTATGAGGCCGATGCAATTCATAAGAAAAATCATATAAAATTGACGTGATCGTATAAATGTTATGTGAAATTCAGATGAATTCCATTAATTTCGTTAATGGATGAAAATCATTTGCATTTCCAATGGAAGCTACAAGAAAACTATTTCCGGTGTTATTCAGCCATGTTGGACATTCGTATGCACGCTTACTTTAACTTACTCACCGCCCCGAGCACTGCCCTTATAAAATTTGTATGGGTATTTTGCTTAACGACCTGTTCAGGATAGCATCCAAACCATTTATGGAATAGTTTAATCATTTCGGTTATCGTTCGGGTATGGTTTTTTTTTATTGAGGCGGGTGCTAGGGCGGGTGAGTCGATCGTACTCAATTTCGTCTGATGCATTAGGATGAGGAATATATTAAGGTAAGTACACTCATAAAATTCCACACATTTTTATTGGTGAATTACCATGTAAAATTCCACATGATTATCATGTGTACACACATAAACAGAATCCACTCTGAAACATGAAATTTATGAGTCAAATAAATAGTATGTGTGGTGAAACATGAATTGTATGTCTACACATAAGAACCATAGAGGTAACTCTAAGACTAGAAGGTCCCGAAGAAGCGTGCTCAACTTTTTGGCTCAGCTCTGGTACTCTCTTCGGTCCCAAGCTAATCGATGCACCCCTCGAAACATAGGAAAATCCACGAACCCCTCATTTTATCTGTCAAACTTTCATAGCGAATCAAAACAAACATAGTGTAGTACTAGAATTAACTAGTTAATCGATTTGCTTGGGACCAATAGGCTAGTCAGGTAGTGAGCCAATTTAAAATCGTTACACAGCAAAAAAAAATGTAATATCGATCAACGTAATTCAAGCTGATGTATGAAATAATGATGCAAAAGAAAAAAATCAGATACAATATTACATCAATGGATGTAATTTTGTTCGCAAAATCAATGTAAATCGTACAATGTGATATTACACAACCGATGGATTGACCTGGTTGCAGCAGTTTCGATGTAATACTCAACAGCTTTTTTTGCTGTGTAGTTTCCACTAAAGATCCTGAATTTGTAAAGAGACGACATGTCAAAATTGGAACAATCGATTGTCTGTCAAAGTCATAGGAAAAATCATTCCAATCGAGCAGAAGACCTGTCAAATGGATAAGATGTCGTCTCTTTATAAATTCAGGCTCTTTAGTTTCCACCGGTTGCTTACACTCAAAGATAAATTAAATCAAAAAAGCTTAAAAAGTATGCAGTTTCCCGCTTCACCCGAGGCTTCACCTTATTGAGTCCGAGCCATGATTACTTCGACAGTAGTCATGCATGATTAAAATCGAAATAATTTTTCCAGTATTACGTTTTATTCTTTTTCAATACTGATATATAATAAAAAAAGATTCAAATACAATCAAAAAATTTTAAAATAGAATCAAAAATGATTAAAAAATATCCAAAAAGAGATAATCTACAATCTAATCAACCATGATTAAACTGGAATTAATATCAGATGCTCATTTTTTTAGAAAGAGAGGATAAATTTTTAATCATTCGATATGATTAAACTGAGTTTAATGTCAAATTGATTAAATTTCTAGCAAAATGGGAATAGTTTAATTTATCAGTGTATAGTGTGTATCGCTTAACTCGATTTGTAATTGTTACTTAGGACCTTGTGAAAAATGACGCGAGAAATGACATTTCCGAGCTCATTTCCTTTGCAGTGGGGCTAAAGCGTATCAATGTCAAATTCGCATGACAGCCGCATGTTTACGTTTCAAACTGTTTACCACAAATTTCACGTGTTTCTCCGAGTTTAACAATGTTTCTGTGAATTTTCGATAAAAGTTTATAAAAGCAAACCAATCATGCCAATCGAAAGTGACGACGAAGCGATTTCGCAGATTTTGAACTCCTTCAAAGAGGAATACGGTTTGGTACAGCAGCCTTCAGCGGGCTCCGGCCAGGATGATTCAAGCGATTCCGAAGCGGTAAAATCCGAGGACGAGGCAGATGTCAAGGAAGAACAGCAAATGGAGGAAGATGTGAATGAGGATTCGGATGGAAATGAAACGGGGAAGTTTATAAAGGCACCCAAGAAGGCGGAGGATAGCGAAGGCGATGCAGGTAACCAGAAGATAGATGTGTTTGATAACCTGAACAAACAGACGATCGGAAAACCGAAATCCAAGAAGGAGAAGGAGCTGATGTCGCTGGTTTTCGGTGGACGAGCGGAGCTGGTGTCCAATCTTCTGAAGACTTCCGATGGAGAAGATACGGACGATGATGATGAGGAGGAGGTAGACGATGGTAAGAAGAAGAAGCGAAAACGATCGGCTGCTTGGGAAGATTCGGATGATGAGAAAGATCACGATTTTCCTCACAAGGGTCAAAGGGTGGAAATGCGAGCCACCGTCAGCCGGCGGAGAAAGAACTTCGAAAAGATTGTCGGTCAACCGAAGTGGGCAGAGCTGGACCGAGAGCGGGAGGTCGATTCGGATGATGAGATTCTGAAAACAGTCGGCCATGTCGTGAAGGGTACGAGTGCGGATTTGCCCAAAGGGAATATTGAGTTGAAGCGGTTGAAGAACTTGAACCGGGAAACGAAAAACGAAGGGGATATAACGGCCATCAATTTCCATCCTACGTCGATGGTGGCGGTTATGGCTGGAATGAACGGATTTGCGTCGATTGTTGCAGTTGATGGCAACAAGAACGAGAAGCTGCACACGATTGGGCTGAAGAAGTTCAAGATCGCTTGTTGTCGGCTGACTCCGGATGGAAATGAAATACTGTTTGGTAGTTTCCGAAAGTTCTACCATGTCTACAATTTGATATCAGGGCAGAGTGACACGCTACAACTTCGGGGAGAAGGTGTTTGGACAATGAAAAATTTTGAATTGTCCAAATGTGGAAAATACCTGGCCGTTACGGGAGGTTTTGGTGAAATCCATCTGTTGGACGCCAGAAGCAAGGAGCTTCTAACAACTATTCAACAGAAACACAGTTGTCCTTCATTGTGCTTTACTCCCGATTCAAAATACCTTATAGCACACAGTACGGATACGGAAGTTTCAATATACCATCTAGAAAAACGTCGTTTCGTTAATGTCTTCACCGACGAAGGTTGCGTCAATGGATCATTTATTACCGTGTGCCCCAACAATCGTTACATAGCTACTGGAAATCGACAAGGAATCGTCAACATCTACATGCTGGATAATGTTCTCAAGGAAAAGTACCCCACTCCGCAGAAAACCGTGTCCAATCTGACGACATCGATCGGATCGATGGCATTTAATGTGACTTCGGAGTTGCTGGCCATTGCGTCCCCGGATGTCCCGAATGCGGTCAAGTTGGTGCACATGAAGAGCGGAACGGTGTTTCGCAACTTCCCGCTGATGAAGGCCGAATTGGGCAGCGTAACTCGGGTGCAATTTTCACCTGGCGGTGGCTACCTCGCCATTGGAAGTCGAGAAGGAGTGGTTTCCCTATTCCGGGTGAAGCACTATCAGAACTATTGAGGTCTTGAAATATAATATACTGTAACTGAAATTCAAAGTCTTGTAGCTGGGAAAGAAATTCGTAAATTAAAACAGTTTATTTATGATGGCAAAACGGAAAGGGTTGCATTGCGTTTGTAACGGAGTAATTCGTAGATTGCATCACGCTCTTATACTGATTGCTCAAGTAAAACTATTTGGGAGTGAATAGCTTTCCAATCAAAGTTCAGAACAGGAAAAGCATGACAGTTACCATTGCCGGCCACGCCCATCTTCTCCATTACGGGAAAAGGAAGGATATAGTGGATGTAACATTTACTTAACGGACGGCCAGCGACTCACCGACGCCACCCAAGATGCTTGGATGGTAGGGTAGGATATGGGTCAGGATTCGCTAAGGCAGGCAATGCGACCATTGTAATGTTTTTTTTATGAGAAGCTTGGGAGTAAATCCAAGATCTTCTACTCAGTAAGCAAAAGCGGCAGCCATCAAGCTGGCCGAGTTCCTCAATTATGTAAATGTTTTAGGACCGATTGATTTAGAGTTGGAAAGATGACATTTTATTACTTTTAAACTTAAATATAATTATCAACAGCGAACAAAAGCTGTGAAAAGGGCCAAAGCATAAGTCTAGAAATCATCCAAATCCATCGTGGAAGCTTGGTTCAGAAACTTCTTGTATAGCGCCATAAACTGCGCCACAAACGCCTCCAGATGGAAGATGTGCTTGCTGCCCTGCTGCATTCGATGTTCGTATGACCCGGCAAAGTTGAGCGTCTGCGTCTTCAGGGTCATATCGCAATTTTTGACCAAGTTCTCTACCAATCCCCGGAAAATGATATCCGACGGAACACCCTGAGACAACAACTCGTACAGCCGCTCCCGGACGGCTTCCAACTTCTGAGGAGATTGCTCCTTGACGATCTGGTTGGCAGTTTCCCTCAAGAACACCTGCCAATCAATCTCCGGCACTTCTTGGCTCACGGTAAACGGATACTGCTGTACTTTGCAGGCCTCCAACATCAAAATCGCCCGACGGAGGTTACGTTCCGACTTCTGCGCAATCCTGTTGGCCAGTTCCGACGGAAGGTGCAGCCCTTCCTTTTTGCAAATGTTCTGTAAACGACAGATTGATGAATATCTTCCAAAATAGAAATAAAGCGAAACTTACATTCAGAATACTGACAATCTCCTCGTCGGTCGGAGCCGACATCCGAATACCCAGGCAACGACTCTTCACCGCCGGAATGACCCGCGAAGTTGAGTTAACGCACAGAATCAACCGACAGGTGGCTACATACTTCTCCATGGTCCTCCTCAGGGCGTGCTGGGCATCCTTGGTTAGTTCATCCACCTCCGAAAGCACAATGGTTTTGAACTCTCGCTGTCCGCTGGGATCGATTTGCTGCGTCTGGGCTATTTGCTTGATCATATCGGTGATCACGACCCGATCGTAGATCCCGGCATCCGACGGATTGACCTCGATGTGATAGTTGCTACTGACGGTCATAATCTCCACCTTCCGGTTGGAGGGGGTGGTGAAATTCATGACTTCGTTCCTCAGCCGTTCTACCCCGGGACCGTACAGCTCCCGCAGAAGGCACATGATGCGTGTCTTCTTGCCGGCTCCCGAAGGACCGTAGAACATCAGATGCGGGAAGTCACCCTGGGCACACAGGTTGGTGAGGTGCGAGGCTTGAGTTTTGTGGTAGTCCAGTTTGGACAGTTCCCGCGGTCGGTATCGATCTACCCAGAGAGCCATTTTTCACGGGTTTTAAAGGTAAATATCACTTTCTTTTGGAAGAAAAAACTACTGCAGGTGAGTTTTTGGAGCACTTCTGTCTTGATTTTTGTTTATGCGCTTCTCGCTCGATTCGCGCCAACATCAGACCAGTCGCCCTTCAGAATTTTTCGACATCAGATGCCAAAACACGCTAACTTGAAAGTACCCATTAATGAGTAAAATTTTACCCATTTTAGAGAAAAGTGGCTTTACTCATGAAATGAGTATAACCGACTTTACTCATTAATGAGTATTTGACGAATACTTCAGAAAATGGGTCTTTTTTATTCTTGATGCTTTTTTTGTTCATGAGTAAAAAGTATTCATTTTATTTAAAATTTTGCGTCAGGTGCATTCTACCCGAGGGGGACGACTCTATCTACGATGCAAAAAAGATTGTGTTTTGCTGTGGCTAGCTGCGCGCACGCTGAGTAGATAGAAAGAAGATTGATGACGATTCTAAAGATTTCCTGCAAAAAATTGATGAGCGATGCAAGTAGATGCGACAAATGAAAGAAGATTGTTCGAAGATTGATTCGCTAGTGTGAGATTTGTAGACCATCTAAACTTGAGATTTAGATGTGTCGCCCCCCTCGATTCTACCATCAAATATAAAACCAAGTAGTACCTTTTGGAAAAATGAATAAACATCAATCATTAAAACGCTTTATATTCTTTATTGGCTCGGAATCAGGTGATCGAATACTGCTTGAAACACTGCCGACATCTCAAAACCGGGCACCATCTTCAGTATCAGCCGACGTATTGCAATATTCAGGGGAAAAAAGTTATCTGGTTGATAAAAGTGTTCACCTATCGAGTCACAGTGGTTCTTCCGTATGAGTCTTCCAGTTCGCCGTTTGCATGCCGTTCATCGACTGAGGATCCGGAACCATTCGCTTGTTAATTGCAGTTTCTTCTTCGTAGATCCCCGCTATCCTGAAATGGGACACATTTTTTTAGAAAATCTTAATTTGCTTGATTATTCCACTTCTATTCCTTACCTCCAAACAATCCGCTTCAGTTTGTACCCAGGAAGGCAATGCCGTTCTTTCCATAGCTGCAGAAGTCACGTAAATCCCGAACACGTAAAATTTCCACCTGATACGCGAAGATGGCGTCACTTTTATAATTAAAACCCTAATGAATATTTTTAACACATTGTTAGGGCTAAAATATATTTTTTCAAATGAATAAAAAGTACCCGCTTTTATATTTTTGAAAGTACCCATTTTTTGACAACTTAGAATAAATTCAAAAAATGAGTACAAAAAACGCATTTAAAGGGTACTTTTGTGTTAGCGTGCATAGCAGCCGATACTGTCAAGCAAAGCAAAGCAACAACATTTTAAGATTTTTATCGTGACCTTACGGAACAGTCAGAGCTGTCTTGCTTTACTGCCATGCCGATGACGTTCTATTACAGGGAGGATTCTGTACAATCTCTAGGAGGGTTTCAGTTAATCGCAAAAGGGATTTACGATAGTCTCAGTAGAGATTCCTGAGGGGAATTTTAGACAATCTCAGTTCGGCCTTTCAACAATATCAAAGTGGACTTCGGATCATCCAAAGAAGGAATATGGACTATCTCAGGGGAGATTCCACACAATCACAGGAAGGATTTCACTCAATACTGAGGGGGATTCATGACAGTCCAGGAGGGATTTCAAATAATCCAGTCAATCCAAAGGGGGATTCTGGACAATCAGTGGAAACAACGAATGCTTCTGAAGAGAATTGACACTAACTCTGAGTTTTCCAGCTAAATATTCTCAGAGATTTAAATCCCTTTTTCTTTATGTATGCTGGTAAATAAAATGTTGGTAATCACGGTACACCGTAATTATTAATAATAATTATTAATGATGAGTTTCCTCATTTCCGATATTGTGAGATTGAGTACTAATTTTCATGAGCTAAAATTCCTACTTCCTTAATTTTGAAATCACACCATCTAGTGTTTCATGCCTGGGAAATTTACTAGAATTATCATTTCGCGATTCCCAGGAAACTAGTTTGGCTTCCCGAGAAGCGGTTTTTTATTGTACAAAAACGATGTTTAACATATTTTATATTAAAAATGACCACACAACCCAGGATTTCCTTGGGAAAAATATAAGAGCCTGAAGTCAGGAAAGCTTCCTGGCGAAGAATCTTCCAAACGAAACCGGTAGACGTTTGTGACACAATCTGTGAGAAATTCCCGGGTGAAGTTAGAAGAGACTTCCATGTAAATTTAGGCAGACGAATGAAATTTTCAGAATAATTCAGAGAAGTTTTCCGTGGGAAATAGTTTCCACGTTCAGCGGTAGCCAGTAGGACTTCTGAGGGTAATCTGAAGATACTGTTTGAACGAAAAGTTGATGAAACTTCCGTTGACCAATGGAAGAAACTTACGAGAGAAGGTGGAAAATTCTTCCAGGGCAAGCTTAAAAAAACTTCCAGGAGATGTTGGAAGAAATTCCATACAAAATCAGACGAAACCTCTCAGAAAAATCATAAGAATCCTTCCGAAGAAGCTGGTCGAAATCATCAAAGAGAAGTTGGAAGAAACTTCCAGAAATTGTCGGCAAAATCTTCCAGGGGAAATCCTGACGAAGTTCAAGTTTTAATAAATAGCTACCGAAAATATTTCCCGATTCCCGGGAAGAGTCTTCAGCTATTTTAAGATTACCGGGTTACTAGAAATGGCTGGAAAATGGAAACACTAACACCACCACATCACCAAAAACTTCAAAGAAATTACACTTTAGCCATCCATCCCTATAAAACAAAAGAGACCTAAACATCGCGATCGCCTGGCCTGGATAAGAGCCATTTAACTTGGATGTTTTAATGAAAGAAAACTAAATTTTGAATTCAAAACATTCTGTCAGACGGGACTGTGATGAAAAATATTAGACTACTTTGTTTATTTTTGAGTAAATATGAGTAACTCAAATTTACTCACTGCAAATATATTTACTCTGAGTACAGTTGTCTTACCCCTTGGTTCATTTTTAGTAACTTATAGTACGTTCAGACTACAGAGTTATAACATGTTATAGCGCTATCTTGATGGTGTTCTCTGTGTTGCAATTATTTGACAACCGTTATAACATGTTATAACTCTCCAGTCTGAACAAGGCATTAGTTACTAACGATTTTTCTTTGTGTGTACAAGACACTGAAGAAGTCTGCACATTGTATACGAAATACGCGTATCTGTCAAGGATAAGCAAATAAAGTAGTGGAATTAAATGGAAAATACTAATCCTTCTCTCTCTCATTATACAGGTATTCCACTAAGACGTCCACATTCATCAGGATTGCTGGAGACGCAGGCAGAAAATTCCTAAGGTATATTGGAAATTTTTTTTGGAGAAAGTCAGAAGCTATAGCGCTTACGGAACAGTCGAAAGAAACAAGGAGATAATTCTGGAAGAAAGAGCTCCTGGGGGATATTCTAATGATCCAGAAATTTTCCAAATGGTCATAAACATCCCTGAAGACCCCGAAATGCCCCTGAAGTTTTTAGGATATTCCTGAAATGTACTTAGGGATTTTATGCTGTTTTGGAGTACTCTGATCATTTTTGAAATACTTGGAACTTCCCTAATTATAATGAAACTACCGGAATATCTGTAATCAACTTTGAAGGTCTCTAGACTTTCTTAAAAATTATGAAATTTCCTAAGCACACAATTTTCTTGAATTTATTGTAACATCAGCAATGCACGGAACTTCCCATTAAATGATCTCACAATGTGCTTATGTTCATGTAACTTCCCTTACGTTTCTTAAATTTGCATTAACCCCTCGGAACATTGCTGAAGTTTTCGGAAATTGCCTGAGTTTCTCGGAACTCCTTTAAAATTTCAGCGATTTCCTTGAAATTTATTGATCTGTCCTGGCGTTGTCGGAGCTTCCTAAAGTTCTCTCAATTCTCCTGAAACTAATGGAACTGTTCTGAAAACCTGCTGAAGAAACTTCCAAGGGAAGTCGAAATAAGTTTCCGAGAGGAATCAGAATTATCAGAAAGAGCCATCGACTGTTTATCGATTCATGGGTAGCCAAAAACGGTGAGGAAATTGAAAAATTAATCGAAAGAGTATCCATAAGACATGTTTGAAGATGATTTTTTTAGAATTTTAAAGGGCTAAAAAAATTGAGTTATTCAAAAAGATACAAGTCTTTCACAATAATTTTCTCCAAAATTCGAGCGCGAGCAGGCATTAATCATTTTGATTATTTAAAAAAAAAAATCGGTATAAATCGGTATAAAACCTCAAAAATCGGTTTTCTGAGGAACCTCATCTGTATATCGGTATCTAGTTCGGAAATCGGTATAAATACCGATAAATCTGTATATCTGGCAACGCTGATCTAAACAAAACTTAATTTTTCTCGGATCGGTGCGAGTGTTACTCGACATAATAAATATTTACTCTTGAGTTGTTTGACAAGAGGTCGTATGAATAAAAGCGTTTACTTTACTTTTCCCGTAAGAAAAGCACGGGAAAGTAAAGTAAACTCTTTTTAATCATACGGCCCAAGGATACATTTTTTTTATTCTGCATGGGGGTCCCTCCCGGGAATTATTAGGCCGTTCGCAATGCTGTTGTATTTTATAAGGCCGTTCGCAATGCTGTTGTATTTTATAAGGACTGTTTCAATTTGAAACTAGAACAGAAACGCACCTCTCGCAATGCTGAGTTGCAGTTTCATTATTCGAGCACTATTTTGCACCAGATTTGCAACTGCTCGACTATTCTGTTTTATTTCTGAGCGAGTTTGAAACACGAATGGAACTCTGTTTCAAATTTCTTTGGATGTGTTAGAGATGTTTCGAGAGCTTCACAAATAAAAACGGAGAATTTCATAGAGAACAGTAAAGTTTATGGAACTTGATGATTTCAAACATCTTTTAGAACTGTGCGTTGCGCTGATCGTGTTGCAGTTTTATTTTTGACAGTTTCAAATTATAGAATTGACGAGTAGTTTAAAACAATTTTGAAACTCAGCATTGCGAACGGCCTTAGGCTCTGAACCATTTGGTGAATTATTTTAACTTTTGGTTAAAATTTGACAGATGGAAAGTTATCGATTAACCCTGCTATCCGAGCATGGTTATTTCTGACAGACAAGAAGTTAAATTTTGACAACCGTGGCTCGAAAACCGGTCGATCAACAGCACGGGGATTTTCGAACATAGAAAATAACTTTCGAAATGTCACTTTTAACCACGAGTTAAATTTAACTCGGCAAATGGTTCACAGCCTTAGGCTGTGAACCATTTGCCGAGTTAAATTTAACTCGTGGTTAAAAGTGACATTTCGAAAGTTATTTCTTATGTTCGAAAATCCCCGTGCTGTCGATCGACCGGTTTTCGAGCCACGGTCGTCAAAATTTAACTTCTTGTCTGTCAGAAGTAACCACGCTCGGATAGCAGGGTTAATCGATAACTTTTCATCTGTCAAATTTTAACCAAAAGCTAAAATAATCCACCAAATGGTTCAGAGCCTTAGGGCCGTTTTCTTCACCCCCGCTTAAATCTTAAACCAGGTTTACCCATTGGCAAATCAAAGTTGGCTCTCGTGGAGAATAGAAGAACTATGAAAGTGATGATGGTTTCAAAATTTTTCACGGGGAAGTATACGAGTCCAATCTTAAAATGCTTTTATTTTGTGAATGGAGCATTTTATTTAAATCTGGTTAGTGCTACGTTAGTAGAAAACTTCAGGACTACTCAATGGACATATAATACAGAAAACATAATTTCTTTTCAGATTTTTAGGTGTACACATAGACTTCCGCTTTTCTACCACTGTAGCAGTAACCAGATTTAAATAAAATGCTCCATTTTCAAAATAAAAGCATTTTAAGATTGCACTCGTATACTTCCCCGTGGAAAATTTTGAAACCATCATCACTTTTATAGTTCTTCTATTCTCCACGAGTACCAACTTTGATTTGCCAATTGGCAAATCAAAGTTGGCACTCGTGGAGAATAGAAGAACTATAAAAGTGATGATGGTTTCAAAATTTTCCACGGGGCAGTATACGAGTGCAATCTTAACATGCTTTTATTTTGAAAACGGAGCATTTTATTTAAATCTGGTTGCTACTACAGTGGTAGAAAAGCTCAAATCTATGTGTACACCTAAAAATCTGAAAAAAAATAATTTTTCTGTATTATATGTCTATTGAGTAGTCCATAAGTTTTCTACTAACATAGCATCAACCAGATTTAAATAAAATGCTCCATTTGCAAAATAAAAGCATTTTAAAATTGCACTCGTATACCTCACCGTGTAAAATTTTCAAACCATCATCACTCTCATAGTTCTTCTATTCTCCACAAGTGCCAACTTTGATTTGCCAATATAGTTAAACCTGGTTTAAGGCTTAAGCGGAGGTGAAGAAATCGGCCCTTAGAGAGAAAAAATACGACAGTGAGCATGCATAAGGGCGAATACGCGATGATCGATTCTCTTCATCGATTTTCTCTTTGCATTGTTACAGCTAAGCGAAACAATTTTCTAGAATTTGTTCAATGCAGAGTAGTAACAGGTTGTATTGGCTATCAAAAGCAACAGCAAACGCACCGAGAAACGTTAAATCTAGCGAGTTATTAACAAAAGAGAAAATTGACGAAGAGAATCGATCATCGCGTATAGGCCCTTATGCATGCTCACTGTCGAAATGATGTTGCATGTCTTTCATTTTTTTTCACTGGCCTCACGATTGTCATCCATCATCAGTCGCTGTCGTGTTTTGTTTGGATCGAAAATTCGTGCAAAATATTACATAAAAAATCGTACGAGGCATGAAAATTTAGCCACCGTTTTCGACGCTCATTTCGTACTGTATTCACAAATGCGTATCCGACGCAGCCAAACACTCAAGAACCTGCTGGATTTGTGGCCGGGTAAGAAGTACTTGGGCATCTACCGGTTTCTGCCGTTGTTCTTCGGTCTCGGAGCAACCTTGGAGTTTTCCATGATCCACTGGCGAGTGGGGGATACCAACTTCTGTGAGTATCAACTGGGTCTTGAATTGGCATTAATAAGGATTTTGTTCCGCTTCCTAGATAACACCTTCAAGAAACGCCAAGCCAAGGATATTGTTGAGGAACGACTTCGACTGCACCAGCTGGAACCGATTCGGGAGGTAAACTAGGTGCAATCATGCCGGCGGGAGTCTCGACTAAGGAATACGTTAAGTTTATGGCGGCAGCGCTGTTTTCGATGTTTGCCGGTTCTCAGCTTGTGCACACGTACTACAATCCGTTGAAGGATTTGAACTACTATATTGACAAGGAAATCAATTCCCAACGGTTACGGGAGGTGAAGCAATCGGATGTAGTTAGTAGCAATGAAGGTGGAATAAAAAAGTAATATTGTTTATTTACGTTTTGCACAATATTGAATATAAGAATAAGTTGATATAGATTATTCTATTTGATCGGTTTCGGCTTGAAGTTGCTGATGGCGTTTGAGCAGGGCCTCGTTTCGTTGGCATTCTGCAGTCAGCTGTTTAACGGTTGCCGCATACTTTCGCTGCTGTTCAACCAGACACAGTAGCTGTGCATTCAGGCCATCCCGCTTGGCACGTTCGTCGTCGTACTTCTTTTTGACCTGCAAAAAGAGACAAAAGCCACTCAGTGATTCCATTTGATTGAGAGTTGATAAAGGCGACCCTAACCTTTGACTTATTGGTTCGAATGCCTTCGACTATGGTTTCGAACTGTTCGACAAATTGCTCCCGCGAATTGAACGATTGCATTGCATTACCGTAGTTTTCGTAGATGGAATTCAGCAGGGACATTTCCTTCTCCAAATACAGTTTAGTATCGTCAAGGGTGTTGTAGAGCGTATAGAACTGCTTCGTCTCGCGATGCGTGGCACTTACTGGAAACAGAACGTTCCTAATTGTTAAAATGTTTCTCTAAAAAAGATACCATCGCTTCACCTTGATTGTAAAGTTCCAGGAACCTTCTCTGGTATTGAGCCAGCTCGGTACGATCCGGAATGTTATCCAATTGACGGTTAATTGAAACGTAGGCACGATTTTTCTTGGCCAGCTGTAGCCGCAAAGATTTCAGTCGTTCCTGCTCCACTTCCAGCTGTTTCTGATACTCCAAAATATCCTCATCCGGGGTACATGTTTCGGCTTTCCTGCAACAAATCGAACACATTTTAGCGAGTCTCTAAACTGCACCCTACTCAACGCAAACTCACTGAATCTTCTCCTGCAGTTCAGCCAGTTCCTTCTTGCACTTCTCCTTAAACTCTGTCTCGTGCTGTTTCATCTTTTCGTTTTTTAATATCAACTCCTGAACGTGAGTCAGAATCTTCTCATTGTCTTCGCTAATCTCCAAATTATCCAAATTGTGAATCTCCGCCTCCAGCGATCCTTTGAGATTCTTAAGCTCCTCTAAATCCGTCCGCTCTTGCTTCAGGCCGTCCTTTAGTTTACAATTGGAGGCTTTGATCCGTTCTAGCTTCTTCTCTAGTGCCAATTTCGTTGCCAGAATCGTTTTAATCTTATTCTGCTCGGACAGCTGGCTGGTATCGATTGACATCTCTCGCTTGAGATCTTCGTAGTGCTGATTGAGGGCACTCCTCTCGGTGTCCGTCAACTCAACGGAAACGTTTTGCTACCCAAACAATGAGTATTAATTTGCATTCTCATCAAACAATAAATTAGTTTATATTTAGATTTACCTCTTTTGCAACTGATAAATTTTTGAACAAATTATCAAAATCAAGCTAAAAACAATAATAACAAATTAAAATAAAACAAGCTGCACCCAATCAACACCAATAAAGATCTACCTCCTGTTCCGTCTTTTGCAGAACATCACGAAACACGTCCTCCGATTCCAACGCATCATCAACCTCCGGAATGTCCACGTTTGTCTTCACCGAGAAGTCCCTGGTCCCGTACTCCATCAGCGTAATTCTCACCCGACTCATCACATCGTCCGGTCCGGTCTTTTCCTTTCTCCTAAACTGCCTCTTCGGAATGTACCGGTCCTCCACCGTTCGGAGATTCGCCAACTGCTTCGAGTGCACTTGTTTGGCTTCCATGTCCGATTCGAGAGTAAAGTGGTTTTGAAACTGCGAAGCGGCCAGCTTCTTCAATTTTTCTGCTTTCTCGCTGCGATTCTCGGCCGACCGTTTGACCAACCACTCCACCACCGGGTAGATGTTGATGAAATCCAATCCCTGTATCTGATGCGGTTCCAGCTGGAAGGGGCATTTCATCTTCGGCAGAACAACGACGATCTTCTCCGTGAGCGCGCTGCGATTGAATTTCCAACATCAACTAGGTATATTAAAAACTCGCAAGACAGTCACTTACATCTTCTGACCGATGGTCAGATTTTCGTGGAACAGCAGGTCCACATCCACATCGTAGTCGCAAGCCTCGATGCACCAGGTCATTCCGCCGACTATCTTGTCGAAGATGGAAAGGCCCTGGATGTGGGCTCGATAGTACCCGGCTCCGACGAGAATGTCGATGATTTCCTGCTCCTTGCATTTCTGTTCTTCATCTTCGCGGCGCTCGACCTGGGTGAGGAACCGGGATGAGTCGGATTGCCGGGTTTGTTTATATGCAATCGGCGAATCGAACTTACCTGAATTTCATTCCCATCAGCGTCGAACCGGGTAGCGAGCTTGATGTTGGGTAAGTGCTTGGAAAAGATATTTTTGGAACCCATTTTATAGCATTTTATAGGTAAACAACATCACAATCTAAAAAATATTTTAAAATGCATTTTAAAAACCGAATCCGATAACAAAATGCACTTGTCAGCCATCAGCTGACTTTGACAGCCTGATCGTCTCTCGAGCAGCTTCCCCCGGTGTCAGTCTCCGGGAATTCTAGTTCTTGGACAATTCGAGCAGTTATTTACACTGAACCAATACATCATTTTAGGTTCGTGTTGTGAATGCGATAAATTAGCAATAATTGACCACTTTGTCAAGCAGTTTTGGCGTGACTTTCTACCAGCGATTCCACAAAATTTTACCAACTAATTTCTATTTTTTTATGAAACGCACAAATGATGACTACTTTTCTTGTGGTTCCAGAAGAAAAAATCTCAAAATAATGTTTGCGTGGTAGTAAACGTCATTTTAACTGCTCGAATGAAGTGGTTAATTGAAAAACGTTCTCGAATCACTCACCCGCATAAATCACAACAATACGGTTACCACATTGAAAATGGTTTATCTTCCTGTGAAAACCATAATGAGAATGGTTCAGTCAACTTTAATTAACCACTTTATTCGAGCTCTTAAAATGACGTTTACTACCACTCAAACTTTGAAATAAAACATTATTTTAAGATTTTTTCTTCTAGAACCTCGAAAAAACAAGCCAACATTTGTGCGTTTCATAAAAAATATAAATTATTTGGTCCAGTTTTGTGAAATCGCTGGTAGAAAGTCACGCCAAAACTGCTTGACAAAGTGGTCAATTGAACCATACCTAGGTAAGGTTTTGACCATATTGATTAAGGTTTGCGAAGACCTAACCCTACAAATAATGGGTGGTTAAGAACGTTCACCATACGAGATCTCACTTTTTCCCATAAATTTTTTGCAACGAAACTATAGCCTAACCACATCAGAGAAGGTTCAAGTTGGAAATGTGAAACCTATTTCCATTAACGTTCGAAAAAGGTAGTACGTTTTAGAACCAACCATTGTTGTTAACTTCAATGTATACTATGAACGAGTACAAATGACCATACTTATTGACGTTATAATACTGTCGTAGTTTATGTGGAATTCAGCAGATACAGTTTGTTCTTTAATTTTAATGTGATTTACAAGATTGCTTTTTTGTGAATACCTCTCTCTTCACTTGAGAATTGTTTTTATTGTTCTTCATATAAACATAGTACTAAAAAAATGCACCTTGCAAAACGAACCTTCATTCTATTTGAACCTGCTTCGATTTCCTGTTTGGGTTGATGTGAGTCAGAAGAATCAAAATTTCCAACCCATGTAGACCGCTGTTATTTATCCATGATGGCTGGGATTGTCAAAGACCCTAGATATTTTTGTAGGAAATACATTCTTTTAGAAATAATTTATACTTTGAGCTGGTATTACTTACGTTATTCATTTTTCTCAACGATAAAACAGGTTTTCCATTTGGAGTAAAGTTTTAAAAATAAAATAATAAAGCAAAAAAAAAAACACCGTGAACTCAGGGCCGCCGTTTCAAAGAAAAGCATTTTCCTTTGTTTGTGCCAGTTGTAAAAACATAAAGCAACCATAAGCGAAACACGTAAGCATTGTACAAGTTGTATACAACTTTTATTCGTAATGTTTTGAAACAGTTCAATATAGTTTCGTATAGTTGATCAACCGTAACAAAATGTAGCTGGAACATACCAGAAACTGTAACAGTAGAAAGTAATGTTTCTTTTCTGTTTATTACATTCCATAAACCATAAAAAACTATTTTGTATAAAGTTAACATAGCTAGTAAGGTTTCAGTGAAGTTTGAACTGTTCTAGAAATGGTTCTTTTCTATGCGGGCAAGAAGTAAAAGTTCAAAGTCAAATCTGTACTTTTTCGTCATCCCTTTTGCTTATGCAAATTTACCCAACGGGTGCACGCAGCATAAACTAAAGCATTAAAACTTAGCATAGGGAAAACTATCCAGCTTTCCATGCTCGGTAATTGCGGTCTGTTTGTATGAATAAACTAGTGAATAAATGCATCCTTCACTGTGCTTTTTGACACTAACTGGAGGGCGTATGTTGTTCCATTTTCTTCTGTTCCTGGGAGAGGGAAACGGAGGGGCCAAAATCTCAACCTCCAGATAGTGTCAAAAAGCACAGTGAAGGATACATTTATTCATACAAACAGGCTGCCATTACCGAGCATGGAAAGCTGGATACGCTTGCACCAGTTTAGCTTAGGTATAGGCGCTACGTAGGAGTCAAGTGCATCCTGGACGTACGCATAAATTTGAGATTATTCTGGAAGTATTGCGTTGGTCCCAAAATGCATCTCATGATCTTGAAGGAGAACGATGGATAAGTTTAGATTAGGAGTACTTTCTGTCTCTTTCCTTCTTATCAACATTACGTTAGGACGATCTTAGCAGGAGGCAAATCTTTCTAGGCTCAAACCCCTATAGAAGGCAAATTTTCTACTTAATAACTGGAATGTGTTAGTCTTCAGACGTCTGTCGATCTGTCAAGATCCGAATTCCTTCCAGCCAGTACCTTCATCTGGTTTAAACTTAGCTAACTGTTGAGACCTCTAATTTAGTGAGAAGTTCAGTCCTCAGTCTAAAATCAAAGTTCAAAAACTGATGCTTAAAGCAGGGTTGCTTCTACTCACTTGCTATAACAAAAGATTTTCCGGAATTTTGGAATCATTAGATTTTATAATGATATTTTGTACTTGTTGTACTGTTGAGACCTCTAATTTAGTGAGAAGTTCAGTCCTCAGTCTAAAATCAAAGTTCAAAAAACTGATGCTTAAAGCAGGGTTGCTTCTACTCACTTGCTATAACAAAAGATTTTCCGGAATTTTGGAATCATTAGATTTGATAATGATATTTTGTACTTGTTATATACAAGAAGAGGTTGAAAGGCAAGTGTTTGACACATAAAATCAGTCAAATTCGTTTTCAGATAGTCACAATTTTTTACGACTCGCGAGCGCTTACTCTGAGTGAACGTTCACGAATAATAAAATCGCTGATTGTGAAACTCTGGAAGCGAATTTGACTGGTTTTATGTGTCGAACACTTGGCTTTCAACCACAAACGAAGTGACAGACGGAGCGGCTCGAAAACTTTGGTGACTAACCTGCTATTGCAATTTTTCAGTGTACCACATGGCAACACCACTACTACTGGATTGTACCACATGGCAACACTACTACTAGATTGAACTAGCATTTTCACCAACTGTACTAGAATGTTTTGGTTCTATCTCTTTCACTCTACTCAAAACTGAAATGCATAAAAAAATGACAAAATGAAACGCACTCTTTGCACACTGTCAAAGAATCATTGTACACAAAATCAACTTAGTTCAAATCAAAACAAAAAAAAACTAACCCATCTGGTGGATGATGCTTCCAAGAAAATTCTATTACAGTGAACCTCATTATTTAAATTGATTTCTTCGCCAGTTAGTCGTCTGTCACTTCGTTTGTGCTTTCAACCTCTTCTTGTATCTAGCAAGTACAAAATACCATTATAACATCTAATAATTTCAAAATTCCGAAAATCTTTTTTTCATAGCAAGTGAGGTGAAGCAACCCTGCTTAAAGGCACTCTTTTTTCTTTCTTTAAAATTCTGAACCACGCTATTGTAAAGGCCCAAACGCAATGTGGGCGGAAGCGGGACGGAATCGGAAAGTTTGACAGTTGTCACTAATGACATCAAGATGTCTAACCGAAATCATTCTGGTTCTAACTAGTATTCAATCCGACAAGTCGGCTTACTCAGATCGGGCTTTTCCACTGGCGCTGCCGTTCCACTTCCGCTCTCATTGCGCTTGAGCCTTAAAAGCACAAACGAAGTGACAGACGGAGCGGCTCGAAAACTTTGGTGACTAACCTGCTATTGCAATTTTTCAGTGTACCACATGGCAACACCACTACTACTGGATTGTACCACATGGCAACACTACTACCACACACGAAGTGACAGACGACTAACTGGCGAAGAAATCCAATTAAATAATGTGGTTCACTGTAATAGAATTTTCTTGGAAGCTTGTGCCATCATCCACCAGATGGGTTAGTTTTTTTGTTTTGATTTGAACAAAGTTGATTTTGTGTACAATGATTCTTTGACAGTGTGCAAAGAGTGCGTATCATTTTGTCATTTTTTTATGCATTTCAGTTTTGAGTAGAGTGAAAGAGATAGAACCAACAATCAATACGAAACTAACGATTTTAAATTGGCTCACCACTTTAGTAGCCTATTGGTCCCAAGCAAACGATTAACGTACCCTATTCTAGTTGAAATTCTATTACTACACTATGTTTGTTTTGATTCGCTATGAAAGTTTGACAGATAACATCAGGGGTGTGTGGATTCATGCAGAACATGCAGGGGTGAGTGAAATAGCTTGGGACTGCTTGGGACCGTTGTTCTGGTACTGAGTGAGCCAAAAATAATAATGATTTTCTTCGGGACCCAGTGGTCTTAGAGTTACCTCTATGATAGAACCAAAACATTCTAGTACATTTGGTGAAAATGCTAGTTCAATCTAGTCGTAGTGTTGCCATGTGGTACAATCCAGTAGTAGTGGTGTTGCCATGTGGTACACTGAAAAATTGCAATAGCAGGTTAGTCACCAAAGTTTTCGAGCCGCTCCGTCTGTCACTTCGTTTGTGCTACTACTAGATTGAACTAGCATTTTCACCAAATGTACTAGAATGTTTTGGTTCTATCTCTTTCACTCTACTCAAAACTGAAATGCACAAAAAAATGACAAAATGATACGCACTCTTTGCACACTGTCAAAGAATCATTGTACACAAAATCAACTTTGTTCAAATCAAAACAAAAAACTAACCCATCTGGTGGAAGATGGCACAAGCTTCCAAGAAAATTCTATTACAGTGAACCACATTATTTAAATGGATTTATTTGCCAGTTAGTCGTCTGTCACTTCGTTTGTGCTTAAAAGTCTCTTGATTCAGTAGAGTAACTGCCTTAGTATCTTGAACAATTTTTGGTAGAATCGAGAAAAGGGTAAGGCTTATTGACAGATACGCACCGAGATTGGATTGAACTTGAGCTTCGGAAAGCTCCGAATACACGAATATGATATGATCCGTGCCTGTGTAGTTGCAATCGAAGATCGGCTTCGAAACGACGAATGCATAAGATGCGAAGTGAGGGAGATGAAATAAAGAATTAGAATAAGATTTTGGGTTGGAAGAGTGCGACACGATGTGTGAACTAGTTAATCGAGCTCGTTCAGACTAAAGAGCCTAAATTTATAAAGAGGCGACATCTTATTAATTTGACAGGTCTTCTACTCGATTGGAATAACTTTTCCTATGACTTTGACAGACAATCGATTGTTCCAATTTTGACATGTCGTCTCTTTATAAATTCAGCTAGTCTGAACAGCTCGCTATTCTCCGTACTGACCAATGCTACCGACGCCAGGGAGGCAGCTCCCACATCTGGACCCAACCTATCGATCCATCAACTCATGGACCGGGACCACCGACTTTACTTGCCCTTCCGAAGGAAGGCGTGATCATATATTTTATGCCTTAGAAAATCCCGGTGGCGCCGACTGGATTTGAGCCCAGGCCTTTTGGGGTGAGAGGCAATCACGCTTTCCACTGCACCACCGGCACCGCTAGATCAGTCCTGGGTACTGCGAACACAGCCGTTTTTGTTTTGCAAGTCAGCAGGAAACAACTTGAAAATTTTCCGATATCACAAATTGTTTTGCTAATGCACTGCTCACAATTTGCATATACATGCTGTCGAAAGTTCACCCTTTGCTCCATAAATAACGTGTACATGGTGTTGGGAGTGCACCTACCCACATGACTCTTATAAAGTTTGTTTGCATTCTTCCTTCAGCAGTTCGTGCAGGTTCGTTCGTTCGTTACATTGTTTACATCCGAGTATTTGAGCAAGTTTTTTGTTGAAGAATATTAGTAAAAAAATGCCGAAATGACAATATTTTCAACATTGACCACAATACTTTCTCTGCCGACGGGGATTGTATGAGAAAAGTATCACTTTTAGCAGCTCTAGATCGTTGGATTCTTTTTGACAGCACCAGTTGGATTCTTTTTGACAACCATTTCGTGTTTCTCCGCACCACTCAGGATCAGTCGAGTATGAAATTAGTCAGAAACGTAAACAAACCATACACACAGAGAAAAAAAATAACTCTTTTAACTTAATTTTGGGTAATTTTGAGTTTTGCATCCCACTCTCATATTTTGTTGTTGTCAAAAACGGAACGAGAGATTCGATTTTCTCATGACTATCTTTCAATAAGCTACTAGTGAGTATATGTGATATTCTCAAATTTGAAACAATTGAACTTAATTTTGAGTAGAAAAAACTCACGAGTAAGTGATTATTTTTGTCGTAGTCAAATGTAAACTACTATAAGCGGTTTACTGAAAATTAGATTATTGAACGGAACATGGGAGATGAGTGAAAAGAACTTAATTTTGGGTAATTTTTCGGTTCCGTGTAGGTTTCTTATGGCTTGTTTACATTAAGGCTCTGAACCATTTGGTGGATTATTTTAACTTTTGGTTAAAATTTGACAGATGAAAAGTTATCGATTAACCCTGCTATCCGAGCATGGTTATTTCTGACGGACAAGAAGTTAAATTTTGACAACCGTGGCTCGAAAACCGGTCGATCGACAGCACGGGGATTTTCGAACATAGAAAATAACTTTCGAAATGTCACTTTTAACCACGAGTTAAATTTAACTCGGCAAATGGTTCACAGCCTAATAATGAGTTAAACGTAAAGCCCTCTAGTTAGGCTGTGAACCATTTGCCGAGTTAAATTTAACTCGTGGTTAAAAGTGACATTTCGAAAGTTATTTTCTATGTTCGAAAATCCCCGTGCTGTCAATCGACCGGTTTTCGACCCAAGGTTGTCAAAATTTAACTTCTTGTCTGTCAAAAGTAACCACGCTCGGATAGCAGGGTTAATCGATAACTTTCCATCTGTCAAATTTTAACCAAAAGTTAAAATAATCCACCAAATGGTTCAGAGCCTTAATGTATGGACGGCTGTCACCACAAAACTGAAAAAAGCTGTTCTAATCGAGCAAAACGGTGCATTTTGACGGTTCGATTGGAACAACTTTTGACAAACGTCCATACTTTTACCACAGACAAACAGACATAACACTCACAAGTTGTTCATCTAACAAGCATTTAACGGTCAATTTAAAAGTACCTCAGTTGGCAGTACTGCCACCTGTGGCGCGCATAGTAAATTCCCTTGCGTTTGACGTTTACACACTACCGCCATCTGTTCAGCGTACTACCCACCACAGTGTACTCAACAGATGGCGGTAATGTTTTAGCGACGATGTTTAAAATGCGAAATATTCAATGTGTTATGTCTGTTTGTCTGTGCTTTTACTGTAGGCTTTAGTTATACGAGATAGGCGACGATTTTTCGGATATGATAGCCACATCCCACCCCTGGTTTAAACATAAATCTTTAATGTACGGGAACATAGGGCAAAATTAGCGCCAAAACACTTATTTACCGTAGCGTGCGCAAGTGGGTTCGATTTCTTGAGTTTTTTTTCATTAAGAAAACATATTTCATGTAATAACATATTTGGTATTGCAGCGGCAACCAATATCATTATCAATACACGGTTACAAAGATACTCATTTGAAGGTAACTAAGACTTTCATTTCGGACTAAGAGGAAACCACAGATGATTATCGATTATTAGTCAATAATTTATTTTTCACATTTATTGCAATTCGTTTTGCCCATCGATAGCGATTTTTTTTCGCTTGTTACAAATAAAAATACATTAATCTGGTACAAAAGTAAAATTAAAGACACTAGTCGACATTAGTGTGTATGTGTGTTTGTATACTCGAAGAAAGAAACAATATATGTCGCAGCAGTGATGTAACCCTAAGTTATATTTTAGGTATAATTGTATAAATTCAACTACAGCCTAAAACGTTAAAAACATGCTAAAATTCACAACATTATATCGATTTTTTTTTCGTTTCAGTAGTTTGATTTAAGAATTGAAAAACCGCCTTAAAGCTAACTGCTTTCCGGAAAGCAACAACCTTTCTGTTTTTTTTTTCTGGTTCACATTTACCCATTCACCTAATTGACCAAACGAAAGCTGGCTAAACTGGTATAAGCTCAAAAATTTCGTTGTATAAAATAGTGTTTTGATGCCAAAGAATGTGGTTATGGATGCTGATGATGGGTCAGTCTGTTTTAGAATAGCCAAGTTTACTCTTATTAGTCTCATAAGAAATGCAGTTTCAGTATACACATCTATTCAGGATAAGTAAGTTGTTTAGTTTGACGCTATTGATTAGCAACATTAAGTTTCATGTGAAAACATTTAGCTGTGTTTAGTAATAAGGTTTAGAAAATCTCCGATGATGGCGTTTTTGTGTTCTCTAATGTGGCAAAAGCCACTCATTAAAGTCTCTATAATTAAATGCTTAGTAATAATTTCAACAGTCAGTCAACAGTTAGTGTATAGAAATTGCTGGGTGGGGTAGAGGGGGGAAATAGGATTTTCTTGTAGATGAGCTGCTCGGTTAGACTCAAACATTTAATTCGCAGTGCCGCGTTCTATTTAACAGAGCAGCGTGCGTTCGAGCTCAGCTAGAAGCAACGCATTATATTCTAACTCTAACTGGGTTTGTCCAAATAGCTATCTAATGTTCCACAATTCGTTGCATATAGGAAATCTCTGGGTTCGTGAGCCTCGGCAGGTCACCATGATTAAGGTACACTCAATGGAAAACGATCGGATCTTACCTTACACTCTAGAGACGCTTTCGATCGTCCCTTTCGTTGAGCTAAAAACGTGTCACACTGAGAACGACTACAGCTAATTGGTCAGCGCGGGGGGTTTCTATCTAGATTATCAACACCTAATTTATAAGTAACCTAGCACTGTTCGTTAGGAAACGTCCATATTCCGGTGCACGGTAACCGGAACGAGGATGTGATGCCCTCCACCGTAGATACCGGTTCGAGAAACGGACGTCGGGGAAGGCAGTACCGTTTGCGTTGGATCGATGCACTTTTGTTGAGGCAGTTCTCCGTCACTGGGGACAAGCGATGGGGTGTGCTGTTTGGAAAGAGCCAGGAAGTTCTGATGATTGCTGTACGGACTGGAGACCGATGTGTTGATCGATGCCGAGTCGGACATCGAGAGCCGCTTGCCGGAAGCATTCGGAGCCACCGGTTCGGCATTTGATAGACAGAGGTGTTCGGATTCCTCATGGTGCGTCATGGTAGAGTAGCCATGGTCCGATGAACCCGCATTCGGACGACGGTAATTGGAAGACATCTGATAAGGGGAGGTTACGTTCGGGAAGATCATATAATTGGCATTGCTTTGACCGTTCATGAGGAGGTTTTGCTTGGCATTGTTTCGACTGATGTCACCATCGTCCGGTGGACTGTGATCTTCGATGTCGAATCTGGACATCGGAACACCGTTACAATGATCAGCCACCAGATCGTCATACAGCTGATCAGAAGCACCACTTTGATCGCTGTTCTGTCGGTAGCAGTACATGGCAAAGCCGACCACTAAACACAGAGCGAGAATCGCTCCGGCTACTGGACCGATTGCGCTGTACGCTGGCGGTAGAACCGATTCCATGATGTTATTACTCATAACATCTCCGTAGGGGGTGGCCGAACCGAAAATGCCATTGAAGCAGGTCAATTGTGACGTACAAAATGGCGTCGTGAGGGTGTTTTCTCCATCGATGTCCACCTGGCACCACTCGCAACCGACGAGTCCTGCAAATGGTTGAAATTGTACAAAATGAAAGCATAGAAGAGATTCTGATTCAATACATACCGAGACATTCGCTCTGAGTAGTGTAATCCTCGCAGTTGATGTTGGTGCAGCTCTTGAGCTCGTATTCGCTCTCATAGTTGAGAGCGTTCATTGAGCTCAGATCCTCCGGAAGAGGTGAACAAAGCGGGATGGACTGCGGGGCAGGTTTTCGACCCATGCCGGAATTGTCCACTTGGCAGGATGGATTCAGCGATTCTTCGTAGTAATCCAGCGGACATTCACACGGGCACTCACATTCGGTTTGTTCCATACGGTTGCAGTTGAGGCAGGAGTTGCCGACCTACGGGGAGAATGGCATCGTCAGTTATCTATGTATATCATTTATTTTTTTTATTTTTATTTATTTTTTTTATTTATTTAATACAAGTATTAAGCGTAGTACAAATAACCACATGTGTTCTCAAAGCTCGTACTACACTGAGAGATGATCAGTTCCGTCTCGAAAATAATTGTTTACATTGATTTTTAAAGTATACGTATGAGGCAGCTTGTTTGCAATTCATAGGCAGTTCATTCCATAATTTCGCAGCACGTTGATGAAAAGAGGATCTGTAGATCTCTGTACGACATCTAGCGAGTGATAAATTTCTTGAGCGAGATGACCTCAAAAATGAAAATAAATTATGCAAATAAACAGGACCTTCATTCAGAATTTTGTAAGTTTGGGTACATACTCTCAGCTTTACGTAATTTTCATAAGTGCAACCTAAAATCCCCTTGTGATTGATGCCAATATGTTCAAAGCGAGGAATTTTATAAACATATCTTGTAACAGCATTAAATGCAAGTTGTAATTTTCGACTATTATTGGAGGAAGTAGATGTATATAGAACATCAGCATAGTTAAATAGCGGAACTAGAAGACTTCGAGCTAATTTCAAACGAATATGTTTAGGAGTACAGTCTCTCAACAGCACTAATGAATGCAGACCAAAAAATACTTTTTTTGAAACACTGTTTACTTGTGCAGTCCAGTTCAGATGCGAGTCCATTATTATTCCCAAATTCTTAACAACATCTGAATATGCTATTGCGGTATCACCTATCATAATGCAAGAAGCATCTGAAATGCTTACTGATCTATTTTTAAATATGATTGCTTGAGTTTTGTTTGCATTTAATTGTAAGCCGTTTGTTACACTCCATTCACAAATTTTTGAAATATCCGAATTAACACAACGTACGATATTTTGTAAATTTTCGACTTTACCAGAGAGGTATAACTGAACATCATCAGCATAGAGATGGTAAGCACAATAATTTAAAATACTTGGAAGGTCATTGATGAACATGGAAAATAACAGTGGACCTAGAACAGATCCTTGTGGCACACCACTTGTTACATTCAAAAGTTCCGATTTTGTATTATTAAATTCAACATATTGCGTTCGTCCCGTAAGATATGAGGAAAGTAAGTTTACAGAAGTTGTATCGAGATAGAAAAAACTACGTAGCTTCCGACATAACAATTTATGATTGATAGAATCGAAAGCTTTACTAAAATCCAAAAGAACTAGAACTGTTAGATTACGTTTGTCAAGCGCAGTTTTTATATCGTTTTCTATTTTAATCAAAGCTGTTGTAGTACTGCAATGTTTACGATAACCAGATTGTAAAGGACATAGTAACGTATTATGAATCAGATAATCGTTTAATTGTTTAGTCAGAAGACTTTCAAAAATTTTGGAAATAGCAGGTAGGATGCTAATCGGTCTGTAGTCCTTGTTGTTCATTGGATTATCAATTTTGCCAATAGGTACAACACGTGCTATCTTCCAAAGCTGTGGAAATGTTGAAGTTGTTATAATGTGATTGTATAAGTTCGTTATGGTAGGAAGAATGACAACAAGAGTTTTTTTCAAAACGCTGAGTGGTAACTGGTCAAAGCCGATAGAATCACTGGACGCGGAATTGAATTCGGTCAGGACTTCTTCATTCGTTACATTCCTAAATGAAAAAGAAGATGACGAGGACCTACCAGCCACAGATTGTTCATCAAAAGTAATAGGAGCTTGATTTGACATGAAGAACTGATTCAATGATTCGGCAGTGATGTTACACACATCACCACCACCTGCTCTACTTTGAGTTTTTGAAAGTCCCAAACGTTTTATATTCTCCCAAAGTTTATTGGAAGAAAGAGAAGGGTTAAGGAGCCGAGAGAAGTAAGTGTACTTAGATTGTTTCACTACACGGTTTGACCTATTTCGCAACCTTGCAAAAGCATTCCATTTAGCTGCGCTGGGTTTATCTGTTTTCCATTTATCATAAGCTTCAGATCGTTTTTGGAAGAGATTTTTGATGTATGGATTAATCCATGGAGCACTAGGATCAACAGTAGTTTTCATTTTCAACGGGGCATGATCATCAATGACAGAATAAAGCATATCGTTTAGAATTTGTAATTTTCCATCAACTGAGTTGCAGTAATAAATAGCATCAAGATTGTACCTTTGCAAGTCAGCTATTAAACTATCGGTGTTTATCTTGAGATATGCTCTTGTCCAATACACAGCTGGAGGTTGATGAGGTACCTTAACTCTGTAATCGAAGCAGATCAAATCATGATCGCTAACACCTCCTATAGAAGATTGAAAAATGTTGCTAACGTTAAACGTACAATTTCCAAGTGCATAATCAATAAAAGATGAACTGCAGCCTGATTTATGACAAGTGGGGGAAAGAGGCAAAATTTTAACAGAAAGCAATTTAACCATATCGATTAACTTGTTTGTAACAGGTGAAGAAGTGTCACACAAATTTATATTGAAATCGCCCATCAATACGAAATGAGATTCAGTAGCACTGATTTCCAGCGCAAGTTCGAAAATACTGTTAAGTTTAGAAACCCTTACATCTGGAGGTCTGTAGACAATGCCACACACAAGCTTTGAATGAACTAATTTAACAAAAAGGTAATCAATTTCATCACCAGCATCAGACTTAGCAAGAACCTTATACTTTGCTTTACTGTTTAGATAGAAAGCAACTCCTCCGCCTCGCTTCTTATTGTCTAAAAGTCGATCAGAACGAACAATTTTGTAGCCATCTAACTCAACAAATTTGTTAGTTATTGAAGACTTCAACCAAGACTCAACAATCCCCAACACAGCTAGCTTTGAGTTCTGAAAGAAGGTTCTGTAATAATCAATATTTTTAACAATGCTGCGAACATTATGGAAGGCAATTTTAATGTAGTTCCTAGCGGGTTTCTCAATAAAGTGTTTCATGATCGTATCAGCAATGCAACGTGAATTAACCGATTCATAGACATCATCGGGCCTTACCTCGGAACTGATCATCATCTCATTTGTTAGGACTGCTGAAGGCTCACTGGTCGATTCGCGTTTTTTGATTCGAATTCACGGACCTGAACGCCTTCGGGCCAGTAGAAGGAATCACTGACAATACCAACCAGGTCATCAGATACCGTCACCTTGAAGGAGATGAATGTTAGCTCATCGATGTTTTTATTTCTCGGAACTAACTTGGCACAGCGAAGTGTAGAATTCTCAGCGTTCGAAATCTCTTTGATGTATTCCAGGATGTCGACTTCTGTTTGATCAATGGCGAATGGTGTTACATAGAAAGACCTCAGCACTTCTTCAGTCTGATCACGTTGACGTTGGTTCCTATTTGCAACTCTCAGACGACATTCCGTTTGTGGGTTTCGTTGTTCATCATCTCCCGGGTTAGTGGTGATCGTTGCAGCAGATGATGAGGAAGAGAGAGCGGTGGAGGTGGAAGCAGTAGCAGCAGTTGAAGTGGCAGCAGGAGTACTGGCAGCAGCAGTGGCAGTAGCAGTAGCAGTAGACGTGGCAGAGGTGGCAGCAGTAGTAGTGGAGGCAATGGTAGTTGGAGCAGGAGTAGTGACAGCAGCAGCAGCAGCAGCAGCAGCAGCAGCGGTAGTAGCAGTAACAGTTGCAATAGTATTGGTAGATGCAGTCGAAACGGAACTTGCAGTATTTTGGGTGGCTGTGAGTTGGTTCACAGAATTGTTTTCCACGATAGGTGATAGAGCTGCCAGACCATCCTCACCAGCTGATGAGTTCTCCAACTGCGATTGTAAGGAACTGTCCAGGTTTATCCGATCAATACTCGAATGAAAATCCGCAAGACCGCCACCAGAACAGCCGGAAAGTAATTGCTGGAGACGATTGGATGCACTGGATTCCCTTCTGTTAGATGGTACAGCCGATAACATGGTATTGAGAACTTTCAAATTTTCTCCATATTGTCCGATGCGCAGGTCCATGGAATCCACACGTACCAGAAGATCCCTTAAAGTTTTCAGCAGCACTGTCTCTCGGTCCATGACAACAGGATTGAAATTTACTCGGCAGATGTCACAAAACCACAGTAGTCCCACATTCGCCGTCCAGGCTTTGTGATTCGTCGCGTTTAATCCAACACAGCAGGGGTGAAAAAATTTTGCGCATGATCCACTGCACAGGACGGTCTTATCCGTGGGCTCAGTTGGATTGCCACAAATTCTACATGGATCCATGATCATCAAATTCACCCTACGTTTCTGCAGCACACTTTCAGAGAGAAGTCCCTACCAGGAGAAGTATGTAAATTCAGTTGGAAACAGGAAATAGCAAAACTCAGAAATCTACCCTGAAACTAGAACTGCACTGTACAATTGCAAGCTAGGTTTCCTATACAATGCGAAATAACCGTCTCGCTCAGAATCCACCAAAGCATCCGACCAGAACCAGAATCTAGCCGAGCTGATGTATACCAACTTTTGAGACCGCCGATATACACAACAACAGCGACTCTATTCACGCATCAGCACCGCACGCACTGTTTAACTTCTGACCAGGACTGGCTCAGGTTGAACAACACGACTTTTGAGACTGTCGTATATAAACACCTTCGCTATCCTATCTAATCGTAAACAGTGGAACGTGTGAATAACTGGAGCAAAACAGAAACAGCACATTATAGTACTACCCAAAGAGCAACTAACACAGATACAGTATGAGCACAAAGCAGATAATGAGTAACACCACCGATCGTTCCCTAAAGAAAACACAAACACTCCTGGCAACGAAATATCACTGTCAATGGCGGCAGAATAGAAGCAGGGAGTGAATTTTCAAACCAGCTCACCACTTCGATTGTGTATAGTAAAGTTGGGACCTCTCGATAGGGGGAATACTTAAGCGATATTTTGACCAATTTTAGACACCCGTCGTCTCATCCTGACACAACTGACTCAACAGGTTCATTCTTACGGGTGTGCAAGCTAACAAAACGCTTCGACATGGGGAACTTGGCATGTGGAACAAAGATCGAACATAATTTGAACCTACACACTTAATCTAGCTCGGTAAAATCTCCAACAGCCGATTACCTCGGCATTTACTTTTGCTGATATCTCTGCAAAATATCTGTTTGTTAGCTGATATTTCAGCAAATAGTTATTTGTTAGCTGAGTCTCAGCAATTGTTTTACTGAATATCAGCAAAATAAATTGCAAAACTACTCGGCTGTTGGAATCTCGGCGAAAAAATTTAAGTGTGTAATTCTCAAAAGAGATAGGGAAAATTGACTAACAGAACAGAATAAAAGGCTCAATTGCAGGCCATTTGCATTGTATGTTTTCAATTACCACAATTATTTCAAGCGGACCCGCGAAAATAGCACCAGTTGATGATTGCATAAATCAAATCCGATTAAAAACAAATCAACTTGTACTCACCGTACTGCACGGGCAGAACGCGCCTCCATCGTTGGTCGAGTTCACCACCCCCAGGAACAGGTTCGTCCCCGGGATCAGCATTATCTGGTACTTGGTCTTCTCGCCGTACATCAAATTGGTCACCACCTCGGCCAGGGACATGTTGAACTGGTAGAACCGCTGCACCGTCCTGTTGACATAGTTGTAGCACATCTTCTTCATGACCAGCTGTTTATGGTTCAGGATATCGTTCGCCACCTGCGACTCCTTGTGCGTTATGTGCTCCAACATCCTCCGGTTGTTGTTGATGGCCGGTTCGATTAGCTTCGGATGCGCTATCAGATAGCCACGGTCGTCCATCAGGAAACACTTCATATTTTCCGCGTTGCAAATGCTCGACGACTCCGTCAGTAGCTTGTAGAAGAATCCCTGCATGAAATCCAACGAAACCACTACGATCGGTTTGTCGTTTTCGGTGTTGTGCAACGCATCGGCGATGCCTTCGAAAATGGTGTACGAGACACTCACAATGTAGCCAGCTCCACCCGCGTCCAGGTAGGGCTTGGTGACTACAATCTTCCCCGGGTATTCCATGGCTTTGACGAACCACGGTCGCTTGGTAGGTTCAATGTCGGTGTCCAGCAGGCCACCGGGGAAGACTTCAAGAACACCGTTGACGGTGGCCGCGTAGCGTCGGATGATGTACTTGCTGAGTTTGCTTTCCCCGTGCCGACGACGGTAGCTGGAGATCACTTTGAGCAGTGCCAACACATCACTGCGCACTTCCGGAAGAAGCCCGGGGTTGGCAAAGAGCGATGTGGTGTCCTTCAGGTATGCCATGATGTTTTGAATGGCTCGGACGTTGTCGTCGTCGTTGGAGGCATCCCGGTTGTTCCGGATGTGAGCGTATGGAGACTGGAACGAGGAAGAACTGAGATACAGGGTGGAGTCATCGGCTAGACTTAGCTGTTTCATGAGGCGACAAACTCGGGGCGATTCGATGGTTGTTTGGTCGAACGGGATCGAGTTGGAGGATGTGCTGATCGAGGGTCGCTGTAGATGGGCTGGATAAATGTCGATCCGGTGGTAGATTAGATCCGATAGCAGATTTCGGCTTGTGACACCATTGCTGGAGATGAAGCTGTAATCGGCGTTTGACCTTGAGTGGTAGTACTGAAGTTGCTGGGACTGGCTGAATCGAGAGTTTGCTCCATTGAGCATGATGTTTGGATTCCGATCGTGGTTGATTGATCGAACGATACATATGATGTAAAATCGAGCTCGCTTCCAGAGGTAAACCGTACTTTGATTGGCAGTTGGTTTGTTCAAGGTAACGTTTCCACTTTCCTCCGAAAGAATGGAACGGAAGTCGGTCGTGCTTAGTCCTCGCTCTAGACGGGTGATGTTCGTGACGAAGAAACTCTCTCTGGCCGCCAGCGGCCTTGGATATGAAGGATGCATGATGGTGTTTCCATGTAGATCAATCAGAAATGCGTAGGATTCATCATCTTGCTTGTAGTAGGAAACATCTTCTGCCAAATCGCTTAAGTAAAGATCAATTCCCATTAATCCGTGTGTTCCTACAGGGACGGACAATGTCACCAGTGTATCGTGGGTCGATGATTCATGGTAAGGTAGATGTACCCGAATGCGATCTTCGGTGAACTTCAGGTCATTTAGGAAAGGTTCCATCAAGGCAATCACAAATCGGTGAGCGTCGAAGCTGTGCTTCGAAATCATGACCATTTTTCCCGCGCGTGGCTTGAAGAACACCCCACTAAGGTTGTATTTGGAAAAATTCTGAGTCGTAACATCAGCTATGAACTGCTTCTCGTATGTGATCTCTCTCTCGTCTAACAGAATCAGACAGGTATTTATGACCACTGGGAACGGTAGCCTTGACTGTCCATCAGCAATTGTTCGCATCACTGTCTTTGCTGCTGCTGTAATCGGTGAGAGCTGAGCTCGTCCCAAATAAAGGAATACAACCGGAAGCTCCGTCTCTACTCCGTGGTAGGCATCTCCGATGGCTTTATACGCATATCGGACCGCCGAGACGTGTGTAGCTGCCGACGAAGTTTTGTTGAGGGAATCTACGAAATCAACCAACCGATCCTTGTTGTCCACGGTGGCATTGACGAAAGGACCATTTGCGCAATCCAGGAGGCTTTCCGTGGTCGTCAATTTCTGACTGACGGCCACGATCGCAATCCGATCGTTTTCGTTCAACAGATAGATCATGAATTTCACGATTGCCTTTGCCACTTCCAGTTGATCAAAGCTCACCGAGTTCCCAATGTCCAGCAGGATCATGACATGTTTATTCCTCACGGAGGATAAGTACAAGGATTTCAATCGACCATCCTTCGGATAGTAGTGGCATTTGAATGCACTCGCCTGATCAAACGACGACAGGTAGAACAGCTGCTTCAAACTGTAGAAATTGCTTTGTAAATGAGCGATTTGATCCAGAAATCGCTTCTGCAAGCTTTGATTATTATCCTCCACAGTTTGGTCGGTGATGCGAATCCTGGGGCGATCGTCTGGGCTGGCTGGAAATGCGGAAAAGTCCAAGAATGCAGATTCGCCGGAAAATTGCTTCATGGTATTCGATGAATTCATTAGCTTCGTATTTTGGATAAAGTTCTGCAAATCGAACTGTGGTTCGTCGTCCCACGGATTGATCAGCTCGCTGTAGGGGCAAGGATTGATGATTGTATTGTATTTGGCACTGTGGCGAGTGGCGGAGTCGTAAATGAATGCCCTCAACCGATCGATAACCGCTGCTGATTGCTCGAACTTGACCGTCAACTTTTTGGTCATCTTCTCCAACTCTTCGATGTCGTTCCGAATCACTGAAGTGAACTCCATCGTGTCGTAGAGTTCCTAGAAATGTAGGTAGATAAGTTTCGTTGAATGAAATATTGTTCAACTACTGATTAATTATGGAATCTTCCGTATCTCATACACATCTTTTTTTTTCATTTGTCTTGTTTCATACACACTTAGATTTTTTTTTGCCGAGATGGGCACCACCGAGCAGCTCGGTAATCAATTTTGCTGGATCTCAGTTAAAAATTTGCCGAGATTCAATATACAAACGGCAACTTTTACCCTTCAGTTTTTGGAAAAGTAATAATAATCTATGTTGGCTTACTATTTGTCCCTGTATTCAAGAAGGTGCGATACTACTGAGGATAGTTGCAGATTCAAGACTTTGCTCTCCTGCAACGGGATACGTCCGGAATGGTTTGAGATTGGAATGGGGTGAATCCGATTATTGGATTGAATTAACTCAGTGTTATACCCTGTGCTGTATGCATTCCATATACTAAACGAAGGTCTACTTTTAAAATTGCCTATTTACTCTTTGATACGACAGTAGGACCAATAAACGATAGGAAGAAGACAAATAGAACAAAAATATGCGTGGAACGGCACATTAGATCCTAAAATAACCGACTCACCTGCACCACTGGAACATCCAACTCCTGATTTCGTATTCGCTTCAGCTTCATTTCCATCGATTTGGTCAGTTCCTGTATGCTGTATTCCCGTTCCGGTCCCTGCTGTTGTTGGGATTGCTGGTGCTGCTGAGCCTGGATAATCGGTGCCATTGGAACAAATGGAAACACCGGGACACTGGGAGTCGACGGCAAAGGCACTTTACTGCTGCTGCTGCTATTATCAATACTTATCGCGCTACTAGCACTTAGATTACTACTTATCAAAGGAACTATGTTATTTACAAAGATATGATTGGAGGAGGCAAACGTTTGTTGCCGACAGCCAAAAAGGGCCATCACCGCCATCACCAGCAGATAATGCTGGTAATAATAATACTGCTCTCGTCGACGACTGGAACTCATCTTGTCGACACGTCGATAATTCTGCTGCCTTACTCGCTATTTGAAATCCACCGAATATGATTCAGTCGCTGTTTATTTGGAAGAAAACGCTTCCCTCTTCTTCTTCCTCGCACGGTGCGCGCGAGGGTCTTGTTCGTTTCGGGATTCTTGTGTCGGCGAAACTCTTTGTTGTTTATGATTTTCCCTTGATCGACCTTTCCTTTCCTCCGGTTTTGCTTAGCACCGCTGCTGCTGCTGCTGCTGTTGTTGTTGTTGATACTCTCCATTCGTTTCGGCTGCCTTTGGCTGGAACTCGTCTTCTTCTTCTTGGTGCTCGATCGTCATTTTTTCTTCGGATGATTTCGTGACGAAGACAAATCTCGGTGGTGCAAGGAAAAATTGCGTTTTCCCGGCTTGCATTCTATTTCCGCACACAAACCGCACTTGAATTCGATACAACGGACACTGATGAACGGATTAGCACTACTTTTGGCACGAAATTGCGATGGAAATTGATTAAAATTTGGATTAATTTACGAGCTTCGTGAGGACGACGTCGAAACATTTGTTGCTCGTTTTCTTTGCTCGCAGCACAGGTCGCAGAGGAGCAGAACACACACGCACACATGCAACGCAGTTTTGTTATTTTGACAGCTGCTTCTACAGTGGAGGCCTGAAGTTTGCCACTGATTGGATGCTATGAAACTGTATGTAACCATTTGAAACGAATTGTGATTGAGCACCATTGAGCCGTAAACAGGTGAGGCCCAGATAATAGGTTCGTCTCCAGCCTTGCTTCCACCCTTGCTTCCACCATATGAAAATACAAATTTTTGATTGAGAACATTTAAGCTTGTTCGATTGATAATTTTATAATATCTGGCTTTAGCTGAACTGAAAATTTATGAAAATTGTTGTTCAGCAGGAGCCACACAATCTTTAATTTTTTATCAATCTTAATTTTTTATCTAGTTCGTTTATTTGGAAGGCTCAACCGCGTTAGCTTTACGGAGCCGATAATTCATTGTTCACTGTGTGTAACAAAATTCACTTAATTCTATGTCTAGTAGGAGTTGGGCCGATTACTCGCGGCTTACTCGAGGTTAGAAGGGTACATTTTGGGGTAGGGTTTCGTTGTCTCATCAGAGCGTTGTCGCCAGTATGAACGGTAGTGCTGTTCTAGCTTCGTCCGGAGTTCGACCGGCTATGGTGGGTGACCAGTGGGCGACGATGAGGCTCATCGAGACGGGGGGACAAGACAAACAAAAACTAATAATTAGAGACAACATTTACTTAATTAGGAGAGGTAACTTTTTTTTTACCTTTAGCATGACTTCAAAAAGATTGATAAATGACAAAAAATTGTTTAAATACCACCGTTTAAATGATGAGTAGCCTGTTTGCAGTGAACACAAATGGTTGACAGTTAGGGGGTTGAACCAACCGGTGGATACTACGGATTTTAAATTGGCTCACTACTTGACTAGCCTATTGGTCCCAAGCAAATTGATTAACGTTTCCCATTCTAGCCTAGAATTTCGACTACACTATGTTTGTTTTGATTCGCTATGAAAGTTTGACAGATAAAAGAGGGGTTCGTGGATTTTCCTATTTCCTGATCGATGCACCCCTCGAAACATAGGAAAATCCACGAACCCCTCATTTTATCTGTCAAACTTTCATAGTGAATCAAAACAAACATTGTGTAGTACTAGAATTTTGACTAGAATGGGGTGGGTTAATCGATTTGCTTGGGACCAATAGGCTAGTCAAGTAGTGAGCCAATTTAAAATCGTTAGTTTCCACCGGTGGGTTGAAGCATCCACCCCGGGTTTCACTGAGTCACACTTCTGCCCCTTCTTCAATTGAAACTTGTTTCAGCTAGCAAACTTTCAGTTGAGAGTTTTTTTTTCAGTTAGTGAAGGTCTAGCATATATAGTAAATCAAATATATGCTCATCACCCATGAAATAATCTGAGAACGGCTCATTTCAATATAATATTGCAATTTTATCAAGAAATTTTCCCGATATGCTAAAGAATATCAGATTCAGAATTCAAAAATATTGCAGACATATGATATTAGGCTTTTAGAAAAATATGAATGTTTGGTTCTCCCATAAAGATAAAGATGTTTGGTTCTCCCATAGTGATTTACATACAAACTATCATTTATATGGGTTGGGCACAGTCAGTTTCTAATCAAATGAGATTATTTTGGAAGGCAAATCAGGATCAGATTTCAGCGCTGGTGGCGATCAATGCTGGCAAAAATAGTGATTTTAGTAACCATGTTTCTGGACTTAAAAGTTATAATAATTTCGGACATTTTCAAGAAACCAGTAACGCTGGTAGATCACCTTTTCGTGGTGCGTTACTGGTATAAGATCTATCTCCGAACCCTAGTCTTGACAACTAAAGGAACAGGATTTTTCAGTAATCAATGGAACACATTTTAGTCTTTGTTACTTGATGCTATTCTTGGATGAAATCGGTGTAAATATTTACATTATTTGACAAATCTCAGGTAATCATGACAGCAGTAGGTCTCTTTTCTTCATTCAAATTGTTTTCAATATTCAAACGTCATGATTACCTGGGTTTTGTCAAATAAGGTAAATATTTCCATTGGTCGCACCAAAGAATACCTTGTTAATAGTGACAATACTCTGAGAAGTAGTCACGATGCCTGTTGAATTGAGAAGTTAATTTAAATTAAATTAAGAATTAAAATGATAACTTCTTGAAAGAAGGGATACTTTTGGATAAGCTTCACTGGGTAAATTGTGGGGAAAAGACATTACGATTGATTCCAGGCTAATATTGTAGAAAATCGTAACTGATAGATCTTGGGCGGAACGCTTCGGAATGTTTAAGGGGTTACGCCACCCTAGAATACAGAAAAATGCACCAACTTCATTAATTTTTTTTTGTTATTTAATAAAGTCACATACTAAATTAACCTATATGGGCTTATAGTACACATAATTAGGGGTGCTTACAGTATTTTTTCATAAGGGGAAACCATGTGTGGCAGTTGGCAGCACTGCGAGTTCCTGGCACTGCTTCCCGTGTAGTGTTACGCGGCCCACACTTTCTTCGTCGTAAATATGAACCTAGAACAAAAACGAGTGGTTTTTCTTATTTTATATCAGAATACCTAGAGAAGTACATACAGAGATGAAATTTTTTTGAATTTTACGCAAATGGGACTTGTTTTGCAAAAAATCAGTTTTTTCGCCTGAAATTTGTTTCTAAAATTGTTTACCACAATTGCATTTTTTGATCAATTGAAAAGTTCGTATATACTTCTCTAGATAATTAATCAGAGAATGCAATCGTCAAAGTCAAGATCAAATTGAGTCCAAATTGCAAATGCTATCGTGTGGGCCGCGGAGAGAAATGTTGTATCGAAAAAAAAACGCGGTTGAAGTTTGAGGTACAGATTTTTGGCAAAAGTAAGGGAATATATATAGTTGAAGATAACAAACCTTCAATCCGCAATCCCAGCACCATAGAGCATGCCTTCCACGTTGAGATTCTGTAAAAAAAAATCGATTTTTTGAAAATCCTAGGGTGGCGTAACCCCTTAATGAATGTTGGGATACATTATTGACTACTTTCAAGAACGTAATTTAACTTCAATAGCATGCTTAACCAAGGCTTAAACAATTGTCACGTCTGTCATAGCTTGTTATGACAGCCTAGGCAATGCATAAATATCAAATCGTTTGTTCAATTGTTTGAATTGTTACAACAACTCGGACACAACACTTAATTTCATTTCACAAAACAAAGTACACTTTATTTAACGCGAACACTAAACTGATAATAAGTTTATTTAAAAAGGGAACGAAAACGAAGTATTTACTCCGCTACGGTTTATTTTACTCTAAAAGATCTACTGCTTTATGTACTACACAGCTGACCGGTGATCGAGGGAGATCAGATACTGGTAGTGTGAGCATACTGCCACTTCGGCCCGTGAGAGAAGTAGAGAGAAAATGTTCCGTTACTAGGGATGCACATGCATCGATATTTCTCTACTTGTCTCGCTCGAACATATGTCGACCGCCTTGAAACATTCTGATTTCAACTACACTACTCTAGTTTCTAGGTGCCTAATCTTTAATTTCGTTTTGCTATGCTAATTCTTCCTTATATAATAGACACATAAAAAATTTGTACAAAATCTACACTATTGTTCTCCTGTTGGAAGTGGGATCGTTCAACCAGATTCACTTTCCTTGCATACTGTTGTACTGCTGTTGCTGTTGATGTGGTATGACCTTGACCCATATACGAAACAGCTGATCACTGAAAGGATTCTAATCCGCTGCTTATGCGATTTTTGCATTGAGTTGGTGCAAGACGAGAAATCGCTGAGGTTCACAATTTGATTAAGTCAAGGGACTTTCAGAATTCTGTTGTAAATCCCTGCACGATCACCTTACTTTGGAGGACTGTGGGAATCAGCAGTCAAGTCCTTCAAAACCTTGTTCAAGCGAAGCATCGGCGTTCGAACTCTCGTGTACGACGAAATGCAAACGATTCTCGTACAGATCGAAGCAGTATTGAACTCTAGACCGTTGACACCGCTCAGCAATGATCCTGAAGACTTTGAGGTATTGACACCAGGACACTTTCTAATTCAACGACCTCTAATTGCACTTTTGGAAGCTGACGTGGATGGAATTCCAGAGAATCGGCTATCAACATGGCAGCGAATACAACACCTCATGCAAGGCATATGGAAGAAATGGTCTACACAATACCTATCAGACCTATACAATCGAACGAAGTGGACAAAACGAAGAGACAACATCGCTGTTGGGACGATGGTTGTTCTAAAGGATGAAAACCTTCCGCCACTCAAGTGGCCACTAGCGCGTGTAACCGAAGTTCACACAGGAGCAGATGGGAACGTTCGAGTCGTGACGGTGCAAACCAAGGACGGTAGCTATCGCAGAGCAATTTCAAAAGTATGCATTCTACCGATACGAGACAATCTTGCTTTAGCAGCTGAGGAGAACTAGGACTCCTCCAACGGAGGAGGCTGAGAGGCCTCCGCTAACCAGTTAAGTTATGAATTTCTTAAAATTTCAAAAAGTTGACCGCCTATTTTCTTCACAGTCACGACTCCCCCATTCCCTATTCAATTTGGACGACTCAAGCTACTCACTGAATTTCGTGTTGTCTCTGACCAGATAAGGTAATCTGTGTTGTCCGGTGTTAGTTCCATGTTGCATGTGTGGTGCATTTTGTGTCCATTCAGTTCCTGCCTGATTTCAATCGAAATCACAGTGGCACCGAACGCCTACATTGCACAGCAGTGCAATGTCAGAGCCAATGCTAAATCCCGTCCTATTTTGACACTTCCGAGGTACCTCCAAATAACAACTGCATTCCGGGCAAGAAGATGTACACTTCAAACCCTGGTTCAACGAAGTGGTCGTCAGTGAACTTGGCCAGTTCACCTGATCGATCATATCATCGGGGAGCCAAATCGAACCTTAGCAGTCAAGAGGGAAGTCTACCTATCAGGAATCATCGAAACGTCATCATTAGCAGGAGATCATCGATGCCAGAGG